TAAAATTTTTTCCCAGGGGTGGCCGAACACCCTGTATACATAATAAATAAAATATATTTTTGCATTTTATTATGATAAAGGAAAGAAAGAAAGTAACTCTGTGAGGATTCAAACCGGCTACCAAAAGCTTCTAGTAGCTACTTGCTCTACCGTCTTAACCAAAACTTGTTCTGTAAAGTAAAAAGTAATTCTTTCACTACATACACACCAAACTTTCCGTAGGATCATTGGGAAGAAAGTTATTAGGATTTTTTTATATTAAGTATGTACTATAACTTGCACCTGCTATCGTTCCAGAAGCAATTTCCATGGCTGTAAGGCCCCCTTGTTAGAATAATTGCTACTGCGTTCGAAATGTGATGTCGAGTCACATTAGGACCGCAAATGGTTAAACTCAAACTTCTCAAAAACTAAGGCCTATTGTGACAAGTTCTTGTATTTTGTGACAGTAGGTGTACACTAGAACTTGCATCTTATACTCTCATTCCAAAAACGATTGAACATCCTTTTCTTCTCCACGTTAGCCTATAAAAACCAACAACTTGAAAAGTGGAAGGATTAGGAAATTAAATGGTGCATCGTTTAGATTGTGTCTAATGTCTCAACATTTCGTCTTCCAATAGTATAGTCCGGGCCACAATATAGCGAAGTCGTAAACTAAACTCTTGAGGCTGAATGTCTTTTTATGTCCGTAACTGCACTATCTTTTTTCATTTTCTACATGCATATATTATAAACAGGTAAATTAAGATATTAAAGACTGTTACGATACCTCTAAAAATAGCTTTCTAAAAATGGCGACACCAGATAAAACATTTCTTTGTACGGCCCTTACTATGGTCTAAGGCCCTTGGCTGCTCGTATTTCTGTCAATTCACTTGTTTCGGGAGCTGAAACGTATAAACTTTGACACCTACTTGAATATACGACCTCGCTATATTGTGGCCCGGACTATACATTTATTTTACTATTATCCGGACGTTACAGATAAGCTATACATGCTCGAAGAGATCTGAAACGTCGCGGAATCTCCAGGAGGCATCGGCTGGGAATGAATCGTCTCGATGACACGTGTCCCGGTCGGCGCACACGTGACAACGACACAAGTATCCACGAGGATGCAACGACGCAAAGAACATCGGAAAAAAGCAGAAAAAAGGGGACATTATGACGCGCGAAGGATGTGAAGCAGGATGCATCGAGTGCGTAATTGCGCTGGACGGTTGCATGAACAATTGGTCACGAAATACCTGCACACTTTAGCTTATTCTCTTCTTTCTTTTTCACCCTAATAGAAATTCAGACGAACCATTGATAATCTTTGACTTTCAGGTAGCCTTTCAGTGATGGTTGGTTTGTATACAAAGTGATTCTAGAAACTAGAACAACCTGTAGCTCTTTGTTTTCCACCCAATGAACAGTGTGTCCAACAATGAATAAAAATAAAAATAACTCAAGTCTATGTTTTACAAATTCTTATATCTTAAAACACTGATAAAGAAATGTAGATTTTAATACTATCCATTAGTTTTATTGAATTTTTCAATTTGTTGACAAAAATAATACCAAAAATTTATTATAACTTTTGGTATATTTTTTTTTTAAATACATGCCATTTACCGAATGTTTGTGTTTTCAATATTTAACACTGTAGCACCTTTCAAGTTTTTGAATAATTTTTTCACAATATTAACAATTCATCTCAATTTTTTGGCGTTAAATATTTATCAACTTTGAATCGAGTTATAAGGAAAATAATAATAAATATCTCCTTGACTTTTGTATATATTTAACATAAAAAGATAAATTAAATTTTAATTTAACATCAATTTTAACAACCCAAATTTGTCCGAAATGAAAAAAATAATAAAAATCATTACTAATATGTCTATAATTTAACTACACGGTATTATGATTTGATATACAAAGTAGGCATCACTTTATCAATTATTACAAGAAAAAAACTGATAAATGATACAACATATATATATTACTTTACATAAATTATTATTTCATGGAATTGATATTATTTGAAGTTTAGTAATACTCAGCAAAAAATATGTGAAGTCATGGAGGCTGATTATAAAGCAATACCCATAAAAATTCTAGAGAAATTTTTAAGAAGAATTAACTTAATTCACTGTTTATAAATTCTGATCGAATACTGTTAAAATAAATAGAGAATCATCCAATGCAAGTAGCAATACCTAATCCAAATCATAATTGGAATTAATATAATTTCAGTAATATAAAATTGTTTTCCATGTTTTGTATTTGAATCAAAACAAAAAAAGAAAAAATGTTACACAGGTGCAAAGTTATGAATTTGAAAAAATTTTGAAATAAAAATTCGTAAACTTGCAAATAGAAATTTTAAATATTTACTTTCCTTGCATATACTTTGCCTGGAAATACCTTAAAACGTACATCCTCGATTCTTTTCTGTCTAATATAGATTGTATCGGAGATGCCAGACCTAGCCAATGACGAAATCGTTAATTTTAGAACAAAACATTTACTAGAATTGAAGTTTAACTTAAAAAATCTCAGAATTCGTGGTTCCTTGAGAAAAAACTTATATTCGTCCTATGAAACGATCTATGCAAGATTTAATCTAGATAAAATATTTAAGCTACTCAGAATATTCTAATACTGATTGTAAAACATTGAGTCAATTAATTTTTAAGAACGTTATTCTGGAAAAAAAATTCATGAGCTCTATTAAACCACTAAAATGAGTCTGTGGAATAAAAAGCACTGACGTAGAGGATTAGTGGTTTTCGTACATACATATTTACCATCGATAAAATTTACTTGAACATACACAGACTTGTGAAATCTAATATTTTTATCAAAAATGCCGCTGGAACAATTATTTATTAAAATTATAGCAGATACTTTGTTGTCTCTATATCGTCCTACTCATTCTACCATTCCATTTTCATGTGATAACGTTGGCACAGCATGAAATCGATTAAACCGTATACTACACACGTACAAACACAAACACCTACGTATGCGATGAGACACACATCACCGTGAAACATACGAGAGAATCGAGATCCTTTTTCTTAATTTTCACGAAGAACGACAAATGCTGTGGAAGGTTTGAAAAGACAACGCCCTGTTTTCATTGAGTAGAAAGATTAATAAACTTTAGCTACCGTAAGTAATATAACCTTTAATCACTGACTATATCCTGCTTGTCCTTGATTTCATAATCTCTGAACACACTAATACCTGACAAAAAGGAAATGTGGCTTCACTATATATATAATCCTGCACACCACCTTTTCGCGCGGTTAATTCAAATCGATTAGTCGGTCGAAAAAAGAAATCATATTAAGGTGGTCTTTAATTCTCATGATCAATGCCCATAATTTATTTTATTATCTTTATTAATTTCTTTAGTTTACTTTTACAGAAATTCTGCACGTCTTAACATTAGAACCACACACTTTTAATAGTTAACTTCCTGTTAACTGAACAAATACTAATAAAAAATTTCGAAGTTCAAAACAATTAAAAATCTGTCGAAGTGAAATAGTCACGAAATTAATTTCAAAATCCTAGTGTAAACGCCATTTATTCAATTAGGTAGTTTTTAAGTGTTAAACAACGGGTAAATAATAGTAAAAAAAAAAAACGAATAACGGTCGAGACCGTTAGATCGTGTATGAATTAATGATCAAAAGCTGCAGAGAATAATTAATATGCTGTTGAGTAACGTTTACCGAGTCTAACAAGAAGTGTAACTGTCAAACGAGTTTCACGCTCGACACTAATACATTCAAAGAATAAAGAAACGCACTATACCGTGGTCCAATTTCCTCTTTCAATTATATGTATTTGCATTAATTCCGAGACAATGAGACGTAGATGTGACACGAAGAACTTTTAAACTTGGCGTTGATTTATGGGTAATGGTTGATCTGAATTCTTATTTCACCCCACCTTGTGCAAGCAAACGATTGAACGACATTGCAATGGCACTGTGAACGTTTTTCCAAAACACATATCACAACACTCGTTCAGAATAACATGTTGAGTAAAATGAATTTTATTCGAATCGTTGTGTAAATAAAGTACGGGTACAACTGGTACAAAATTGTTTTCGATAATCAATTAAATGAACATTAAATAGTGTAAACGTAGGCTATCAAAAGAATTCATTCGATTGTAGAATAACATTTTAATTAAACGTTGTAACACGACAAACCGTAGAATGTCGACGATTAGAAACTACTTCAAACTGCACAACGATCGTGTACGGGTGAATGCGGTAATGAGTATTATGAATCGATGGTCCAGCGACAGACTGGAAACTCGATTAAATTCTCTACAAACAGTCTCGCTAATGACAAAGAAATCAAATCGCTGTTCTACCATCTTCCAACAAACATATCGTGGCAAATAATGTATTCTAACCTTGATGCCATGCTCTTCCGCACGAAGGGATTTACGAAAAGAGTTACGGGAATTTTGCAAGGATACGCGCCAAATCTTTTCTAGGTCATTCCACAGGGACAGGATATGCACTGTTCTACAGCTGATTTTATTTGTCGCGGCGAGAAAAATTCATAATGCCATGAGACACGATCAAAAACGAAAGACTTGGACGAAATTTTAAACGAAACGTGCATGTACTTACTGCGACTGGTCAGTGATAATTTACCGCGGAATTGCACGCGAACTCGTCACAGTAATCACAGCATTGACACCATGCCAAAACAGCCCCTGCGAACGACTGATTTTTATCGAACTGGCCGCGGCGAAATGCAGCTCGCACTTCAACATTGCCATCTTCCAGCAAGCCCTGTAACTATTCTATGTCCATCGAACAGCTACGTCGAGATCCCTAATTTTATTCGCGCATGCGCAGTATTTTATTAAATCAACTAATTATCATTAACAAAAGAACAAAATAAAATTAAATGGTAACACGTGTATTCAAATTAATTAAAGAAAAAAGGATAATACGTTGACAAAATTATACGTTTTCATTCTTTTATTAAAAATGTTTTTAATCGTTATTTAAATACGTCACAGATAATTTTAAAACGTGATCGTAGAAGGAGCAGGTACCGATCAGAGAGACATTTTGTACTTCCGTACCGAGTATTTGTTTTGCAATTTCTGCACTGTTTAAAAAGGACCAATCGCATCCATACGCTATACTTTCGTGCTCGTTATATTCACCAATAACAGATGGTGCATCTGTTCTCTCGCAGTCAATTATTCTAAAACCGCCATACATGCAAGCGGCAAGCAAATATTTTCGTGTAAAAGGATCCCATTTCAAACGCCACACACCACCACCAAGATTGGTTTCCGAAACGGGTCGTTTTAAATGTCTTGTATCCCATAGTCTCAACGTTTCATCGTAACTGAAAAATTGTAAATAAACAGTCAAAAATTATAACTGCTGTTAAATTATTATACTATTCCGATACGCCACCTTCCAGTTGATAATAAAAACTCTTTCTTTGCGTTACTATGAATGCTCGTAACGCCAGCACCATGAATTTTGCTCAAAATTATAGGATATGTACCCATTCTTGTATCAAAACTTTGGAATTTACAGTCATCGCCACCTTAAGTGCAATCGATTTGTTAAAAAATATTTAAGTAATAGTTTCTTAGCGATAGTTTTAAGATAATTATTTCGTACCAGTATATATCACATTTGTGTCCCAATAATCAAAAACAGCAATCCAAGCTTCAAATTTGTGCATAGGCCACAAATTAATTACGTTAAGTTCATTTTCGTTTATTTCAAACAATGTTACGAATCCTTTTGAATCGCTGACTACAATTTTTGAATGCGAATCGTTATTATCCATCCATCTTCCAGTACACCAATCTAAAGATAAGGCAATTACTTCCTCATCGTGCGAAATTTTTTTCTCCGTTAATAATTGTAAAGCTTCTTTTCCTTCATCGTTTTTTAATTGATATACTTGTAAATAGCCTAATGAATTGACAACGCCTAATAAAATTTTATTTTGATATATAACATGCGCCCATTTCATATCTAATACAGCAGGTACTTCTAACTTTTGTAACAGGACTAGACATCCATTGTCCACAACACGAAACATGTAGATTCGTCCTAGGCGTTTCAATGCCTCCGATTCGTCCAATGTTGCTTCATTCTCTTTTATTAACTGGTATGTTCCACATACAAATATATCTTTGAAAGAATTTGCTGGGCACCATTCGATAGAGTCAGCAGAAAATTCAGTATCAAAGCTATCCAAAGTGTGGAACATGATCGTTTCATTAATCTGTAACATACAATCTTTTGGTTCATAAATACGCACTTTTTACATAAAGGCAAGATTAAATTTAGATATTTATAAAGTATGAAGGATACAACCATTTTAAAAGAGGTATTATGGGAATAATACAGAAATATCTTTATTTGTACTATAAATATTACAATTAATGGAAATTATATAAATATGACATACAATTTTTAATGTATTACAAATTCGCAATTGTTTGTTTGAATACAGACATGTATAATTATATATTATTTTCAATGATGTTTATTAGTATTATTATTAAAAACATGAAATAGAATTTATTTAAAAACATCTCGTGCAAAATTTACTTTTGTAAGAATTTAAAAAATTTTAATAAATATACATTGAACTCATGTAACTTACATACTTATGCTGAAAATACGACATTCATAAATTGTATTGTCATATATATAATGAACATCTTGGTCAAAAGAATATTGTTATCATTGAGATCATATCACCAGGAACAATACATGGTCATTGGTTAACTTTTTCTTAAGAGTAGTAATACAATTCTGAGCAAATTTAAGTATCATAGGAACTTTGTTTCTTCATTCTCACGTTTTAAATATTTTCACAATACTTAGTAATTCAAATATACAGCATTATGATTACAGCACTCTTACTACAAATATATACTATACTTATATTAATATCATTTAGATTCTTTATTGAATACTTATTTCTATAATATTTGGGAAGCATGTTTGTACTATCAATAATCCATGTAAGGATACTTTAGTTTGTTTTAATAGATATTAAAAAACGTTGTTCTAACAAAGGACTCGTGTATATTTGTACTTGTGTTTAAATCCGATAAAATGTATCAGATCAATGTTTCAAAATAAATTAGTTATGCTTAAAAGAGCAATGTTTACAAAACATTTCATATTGATTGTTTGTACAAAATCAATTATATTCTGTAATTTTAATAAATTATTACATTTAGTGGCTATATCATTGTACTCTTTGGCAGTGTAGAAACTAATAAGTAACTTTTTAAAATATAAAATAAATATTACGATGACATGCATTTTAAATATGTTTATAAAAATACAAAGATGTGCAAACATCTTTTTTTGAATTATGCTAGATTTCCAATTAATGACCATTATCATGTGGTTCAAACCTGAGGTAGGTAAATTGGCACTCTGGTTCTCGCATTTCACACAATTGGTTCGGACAATTTCATTTTTAATAATAGTATGTTATAAGTTTGTGCTTTTATCATTATTTATATCTAAGTACTTTTGGAATACTTGGTCAGTTAAAATTGAACGATATGTATCAAATTATATAAAATACGTATTTTACTGACGAGCACTTTTCTCAGTCTCGACTAGACACTCTCTAACTAAAATACGTGCATGTACGATACCACGTTTAATTTTTTCAGCAGAAGTACGACTGCCAGCATAGGTAGGTCGAACTTCGTGACCAAGTTCTTCTATGACATTAAGTAGCTGTATATATTTTGATTGGCCAGGTACAGAAGGAACAGTTTGCTGTAGGGCTCTTGGATTTGGTACACTCAGTAACGGCTCTGTGATCTTTGTTGAAACTTCTACATTTCCTCGTTCTTCTTCCATCTTCTAACTTTTTCTTAAATAAATATCCTAACAAATAATTTATGAAAGAGATCTAAATTATAAATAACCAAATATTGCAAAATAACTCTTACAATTTGATTAATATATCAATTTCATTGGGTAAATTTTATATTTGATTGAAAACTTGAGCAAAATTTAACTAGAGAAAACGAGAACCTTTGAGTCTTGTACGTTTCATATATTTCCGCATAATCTTTGTAATACAAGATTAAGGAATTCATAAATATAACCTCAAATCAAACATATAATTTTATTTTATGTCGCAGAACTTACCTTTAACGATATGATAATGAAAAACGAATGTATATTTCACAGAATAAATAAATAAATACAAATAAAAATGAAGTATAATATTTTACAAGTTAATTCATGAAATTACCGCCTTGTACCTTCTACCTCTGGCATTCTTATGCCAATATACAATACATATGTATATGGTAATCACCCGAAGCTTAAACGGCGCATGAGAGGATCAAGTATGAACTACATTGTGCAATTTCTTCCCGCTAATTTTAAATTGATCAACGCAAAATTAATTAAGGGTATGAAATCAATACACATTACTGTAAAAAATTCTTTTTTTTTTTTATTTAGATATACCTTATAGTCAGTTATATTCAAGGATTATACTTTCCATAGGTACGTTTTGTTTGATCAATCTTTTCTGTCTATACTGTAGGTAATTCCTAAGTATCCATAGTTTTAACCAAAAATGTAATACATTTTCCTTAGAAAATATAAATGAAGACTCTTCAGTGTACAAATTGTTTCTGCTTAATATTATTTTCCTATTTACTAAATTAGAACTTAATATGAAGGAACGAATCCTTCACGATTTGTATCTATGCATAGAAAATGGTGATCTTTAAGTCCCTTCCAATAATAATAGAGAAAACGAAATCAAAAGGAGAAAAGAATTTCTTTTTTTTAAATTTATACCCAATATTATGCATTATAAATTGATTAATTTCTTTTAGGCATCCACAAAAGTGTACATTATTTCTAAAAATCAGTTCAATTATTATTTAAAGCGATATTAGGTTACATAATTATTATTTCCTCAACCTGTTACACTTTTCTTTATTAAACTTACAACTGATAAAATTGTATAAAATATGAAATAGTAAGTATTAGATATTTATGCATAATTTTGTGGATGCTAAGACACTCCCTTTAAAATATACTGCTGTACTCCATACAATGTACATAGCATTATCTAAAATAATCTGCTAAAAATCTATTCGCTAAGTGTATTGGCAGATCATTGCCGTGCATTATGTTCTGTTTCCAGTAGACATTCTCGTACAAGGATTCTAGCATGCTGAATACCCATTTTAAGACGCTCGGCTGCACTGCGACTTCCAGCATAAGAAAGGCGAATGTCTCTTCCTAGTTCTTCGATAATAACCAGTAACTGAGCATATTTGCCCTGACCAGGTACAGTAGGAAAGTTTATTGTACTGGATGGACTAGCCTGTGCTACTTGAACAGTTTGAACATTTTGCAAATTTCGTGGATTTGGCACAGTGATCACAGGTTCAGGGATTCGAGGAATTTCTGGTACCTTTGGTGGCGGAGGGTCATTTAATTTTGTTATCGTTATTTCATTTAGTTTAGCTAACTCTGTTAGTTTTGCCATTTCTGCCATTTTGGAATACTCGGGCATCTTTGTGATATCATTTTGTATATTCGCCATTTTAATCATTTCGTTCATTTTTGTTTTTTCATTCATTTTTGCAATTTCTTTAGCCATCTCGTTGATTTGTGCAATTTCATTTAATTTTGTTATGTCGTTATTATATTTAGCCATTTCTGTCATCTTTACCATCTCGTTTAGTTTAGCTATTTCGTTCATTCTTTGAACTTCATTAATTTTTGCCATCTGTGACATCTTCATCATTTCATTCATTTTGGCAATCTCGTTAATTTTTGTTATATCATTGTATTTAGCCATCTCAGAAAGTTTCACCATTTCGTTCATTTTGGCAATTTCAGACATCTTTGCAATTTCTTGCATCTTTATATATTCTGTTGTCTTGGCATACTCTGCCATTTTTTCCATTTCGTACCTTTTAGCCATATCTTGAGACATTTTATTTAATTCAGTCATTTTGCTGAATTCAGCAAGTTGAGCCATTTGAACTATATGTTCTGGTACTTTTCCCCTTTCCATCATTTGCTTCAGCTCTGCAGAAATTTTATTCATATTCATTTCTGACATTTGAGCTATCGTTGCTGCATCCGGCATTTTTGAAAGTTCTGCAATTTTTGAAATTTCTCTTGCCAAATTTTCATCCAAACAACGCTTCTTTTTAGCACGATGCCTAGCCATACGCTGAGCTTCTTGCATTCTTCTTATCGCTGCCTGCTCCTCTGTTTCTTTTGCTCTGGCGTTCTTCATTCTTTCTGCAGCAGTATACAATCTCACAGCACGTTCTTCAATCGTTTCTGATCTTAATTTTTGCCGTCTATATTCTCGCATTTCCCTTACCTTTTGAAGGTAAGATTTTCTCTTAGCCTTAGGCATAACATGCAATTATGCACAGCATAAGTACAATCATCTATATAATCTGTCATTTTCGTAAGTTTTAAATACCAAACTTTTCACAAAATATATTTTATGCATACGTTTTTGGCTAAATATTTAGCCAATTTTGTTGCTCCTTTCTTGATATTGACTAAATGTTTGTTCGTATACCTTTGTATACAATATAATTCTTACGTTACATTTGAATATTACAAATTACCTGTAACACAAAATAATACAGTAAATTAAAACTTGTTTGTCAAAAGATTTTCAGAAAGATGACAAAGAGTTAATTCACATGTTTTTAGGCGTAGCAAGCACCGATTATTATTTCTATGTCTAATTATCATTCAACTATCATAGGATAAAATTTATCATTAAACCAGATTATTAACGGCAATAACTAAAAATTTAATTGCACTTGTAGAAAAAGAGAGCATCGGTCTGGCGATCTCCTTTGAGAAATGCCGTTAACCACTTTCTTTGCTACAGCAAGTGAAAAAAACGTAAAAATTAATTCGATTTCCGACATCTAAAAAGACGCGGGTAACGAACTCAAAAAAAATTCCATAGCACGTGCGCAAAAATTGAGCGGCGAATACTGTTTTCGAAATACGGATATGTATACGTGCGTGTGCGTATCAGCTACCTGTGTCACGTTGCTTTTATGTGTGCGTGTCTCCCAAAATTCGAAAGAAGAGCGTCGTCAAGTAGCACACGACGCGCATGCGCACCAATCTAAGAACGCCGTCTTCCTGGAACGTTCACCAATCACAACAATGGCGGACGCAATTCGGTCAATTCATTGAAACGCACAATTAATTCACCGTGAAGCTAAACCGTGTCGTGAACCGATCCGATTTTACATCCGAATCTTTCTTGCAGTGGAACGCGTCCGCCAATGCCGCTCCTATGGAAATTAGTCCGATTTTTCTCAAGATATCCCGGAGACAAACGCACAAAAGCAATATCGGCCGACATGTAAGATTTTCGTTGGGTGCCACTTTAAGGGGCCAAGCGGGGTCGCCGATAGGCTGCGTGTGACGTTGCGTTTATTGACCATAACCCCTTCCTACTCCCGTCTGCAACTTCACGACGGACAGGTGTACGACCTGAGAGACCGCAAAATAATTGACCAAACCAACCGCGTCTTAAAATACACGACACATTATCAAAGAGCCATGAACACTCGAAATGTTCAGCTGTTTTATCGTCTCCACTAATGGAGATCTCACGCTTCTATCTCTTCGATAAGATGATCGTTCCCTGGAAATATTCAATTTACGGTAAACTTTCTTAATGTTTTGAAAGAATGGTTCCTTCAAGGAATGAGAAAATTTTGACGGGTTTACTTCGGTTCTTTCAGACAAGGTGAGAGTCACTTACGGTGAACTCATCAAGAGGATTTGTATTTTTGAAGAGCTTGCGAGTTATGAAAATATTTTGGTGCGATCAAGGTTTCAAATAATCTACAATAATTAATAATAAGGATTGTTTTAAAAGGAAATTCGTGTCTAAGTTTTCCACCATTTTCTAATATTTTGTTAGGTAAATTGAAGAAATTATGTCCATTATTTGCAAACTGACTGTTTTATTAAAATTTACTAGAGGTATTTTGATTTCTTTTATTTAAAAATATTTATCAATTATTATTATTCGTATTTTTGTATGGAGTATTATTGTTATTATATTAATGAATTTCATCTATTACTTTTGTTCGTATACTTGACACTTACAGTATACATATTAAGACATGAGATTGCTCTTATTATCAATTCATACAAATGAAATCAGTAAATATATTCTTTACAATTGTTGCAATTTTTTACATAGAAGATGATGTTTCTATATAATTCATATTTTTCTATATAGAATTAAAATTACAAATTTTACTATATACAATTTTATGAAGACCATAAAAATAAGTTATCTGTTTATTAAAAATTCTATATCCATTTGTTGAGGAACTATTGCTGCAAATTAATTTCTATCTCTGATAAACACTCTTTGATCAGCATTTTTGCTTGTACAATGCCTAATTTTAATCTTTCTGCTGAAATTTTACTACCAGCATATGCTAATCTAACATCTTTTCCTAGTTCCTTGATAATGGCCAATAACTGAGAATATTTATTTTGTTCACAAGGTGTATGTACAATGATTGGTAATTCCTGCATAGGCAAGTGTGTTTGAAATTGTTCTGTATTTGATATTGTAATGATGGAATTAGTGGTTTCAAATGTAATGTTTTTTTGATTTAATTTTGCGATTACAGAAAGCTTATTAAAACTTAATGTTTCAAGCACCTTTGCTTCCTCTAAAGACTTTTTCTTTCTAGCTCTAAATCTAGCCATTCTTTGTGCATCGTGAAACCTCCGAATTATAGCTTTATCTTCTGTTTCATGAGGCTTTGTTAGAGGTTTACTTGTGCATTTCTTTCTTTCCCTAGTTGAATCAGGTTGTTTGTTCGTTTTTAATGTACTCTTACATTTGCTCCACTTGCACCTATTCATTTTCTATTCAGATACTTTCTTCCAATTATTTTTTTATTTTTACAAAAATTACAAAATGTACAATTAAAAAATTATTTGAATTGGCTTCCTGTCTTTTAATTGTTTTACGCGCATGCGTAAAGTGTAATCAATTTAGAAACCAATCAAGAATGATGGATCATTTTATACAGACCCGTTAGAAGTTTTGAATCACGTGCGTCTGGACGGGAAAGTCTACATTAAGTTCTGATAAAGTTCTTTGCTTTCTCGTTATTTTCAAATATTTGCAATCATCACAAACACTGATAAGAAGAAAATGATCGTCGCACTTGCACGTAAGACTTCACTATGTACTCTTTATACTAATACAATTTCGTCAAAAATTTCTAGTCTTGTTTTATTGAAGATTAAGAAGGTATAGCTATCTTCTTCTCTGTATGTATTATTGTCTCAAGGTGATTCACTCCCAAAATAGTGACTTACGATTAATTCCGTATATGTAAATAAGCCTTTGTAAATTTAAACATAATTTTAGTGGGAATTGCGTTTCACAATGATTTGGCCATAACATCATTTATTAAGCTACGAAATTGTAACTGCTAACAAATTTTTTTTTTTGCGTGTGCGTGCGATCGCGTATATATATACACACTTATTTTTAACACTGACAAGTACTAGCAAAAATGTTGACTACTTGAGATGTATAATTATCGAAATATATTTGATATGCATATTTTAATGAAATTTCACAACATATGCGCAGCATTATTCTGTACACCAAAATTATGCAAATAAATGTTGGATTTGTACGAGATATAGTTTTTAGTTCAAATTTTGAATCTATTGATAAATACAGATAAAAGAAATCAGAAGCAAGTATAGAGAAATGTGTTATATTGAGTGGTTGAACTGATACGATTACATATTAATGTTCAAGCAATTAGTTATTACTGTATTTCATAGAAAGTATCAATAGGTATCAAAATTTCAGACACTTGGTATCAGTTTTCAGTAAAGATATTTTTGTGACAAATTATGTCGATATCAATATCATGCGGTATCAAACAGATATTGGTACTATTGTAAATATATGAAAAAATAAAAAAGTAGAATCCAATCGGTATAAAATAAGTAACAAAGACAGACACAACTTTGGATAATGATAAAATTTAATCAGAGAAATCATTCCATATATAAAAGAAGATGTGTTTCTCTTCCAACCATTATTATTAATCGTGTACAAAAGCAACTTGAATTCAGTTTATTCAGTTTCCAGTTCAATTAGCATTTGTCATGATGATCAACAAATTACAAGAGTATACATCTACATTTAACCATATCAGAATTAACATTTACAGATCTGTATTCAGTCATGGTTAAATATTAAATAACAGTGTTTTGATTAGAATGGTAAAACAGCATTGCTAAAGTTCATGTGGATTTAGCAGGGTCAGAGCTTGTAACAGTTTTTTACTTATTTCATATTAAATTTTGCATTTGCTTATATTATATTAACTAAAATTTGTTTCGTAATTATACAAGTACAATACGTTAGTACAGGCCTGACGAACTGGCGGCCCATGGGCCACACTTCGCCTTTTCTTCCCACTCGAGCGTCACGACCGCAACATACTTCGCACACACACCGTAACTCTCATCACTTGCATTCTGCAGGTGAGGGAATCTGCTAGCTGAAAGGTTAGTCGAGTGGCTCGCAACGGAAAGAAAGTTCGTCAGGCCTATATTAGTACAGCAATCATACCGACTGTATGTTATTTATAGGGGTGTACGGGATTCTCGTAAAATATCCGGAATTCCCGAAAATACACGTAATCCCGCGAAGATCCGGGATTCCCGAGAATATACGGGATATAGAATAATATCTGGGATTCTCGAAACACAATTGTGTGATTGACTATCCATTCAGAAATATCTACCGATATTAAAATTCTGCATTGTCAGAATTATCGAAATTTGCAATTATTTTCTACAATATTACTAACATAAACATTTCCGATTAATAAAATATGTAATCTTCGAGAACACAATGGCTTTCGGATTCTGGTAATTGTTGGAAGTATGGAGAAACTTAAAATGTCGGGAATCACAGACGTTTTCGAGAATCCCGAACATTTTTGGGATTTTGAAATTCTCGGGAATTCCGAATGGCTTCGGGATCCTGAAAATTCGAAGGAATCACGGATGTTTTCGGGATTCCATCCCGATCTCGAGAAAAATTCCCCTCCCGATCGGGATCTCGCACACCCCTAGTTATTTATAGGCACTCCAACGAGAAAAACCATTACAACCGAAATGTAAAACTACGTAGTTCTTAAGGGTACACAACATTGTCACAGTTTCTAAAAACTCATAGATTTTGTTTGATACTGTTCGATACCAGATTCGTAATATACAAGATGATACTGATATTATTGATTCAATGCCATTCTCATTTACTGTTTGTATTGTTTTCTACAATAAAATATTTTTGTATGTTCCAGGTTGTATATAAACGTTTCGGATATTACATCACATAGATCACTAGAGATGTTTACAATGCAGAATACCACTCTAAAAATTAAATAAACAAACATGTACATTTCATCATACGAATATTATTTTCTTTTATTGCTAGTAATTCTTCCAGTATACCTTTTTTTTAAATTATGGTCATGGCTGGGCTGGCAATTATTTGTAAATAATTAATATTATGTATACTTTGTCTTTAATTTATGTTTCTTGTAATGCTTAAATCTTTGATGTTTTTCTTTCCATGAAATTTTAGCCTCGTATTGCTTAAAAATCTTTTTTGTATTTATATAAAAGTATAATAAGTGTAATATTGTATCATTAAAAATTTTTTAATAGAAACAATTATCAAAGTTTTTTATTTCTGTCAAGAAATTTAAAATTAAATTTTATTAGTAATTAAAAGTTCATCTAATCCCATTCTTCCTCTATGTCTCCATATCCTAAATCTGGCAACATCTTTTCGTGTAATAATTCCAATTACCTAAAGAAAATATAAAAATACAATACTTCCTATGATACAATTTGTTTTAGAATACATTAATTGTTGGTACCTCATTTGTGTCATTTAATACTGGTAAATGACGAAGACCTAACCCTCTAAAAAGTCTAAATGTACGTGGTAATGCTGCAGACTGAAAAAGAAGATTAATATAAACTACAATTTTTAATTTATAAATAGAATAGTAATAATTAACTAACATGTTGTAATGTGTAAGGAGAACGATTCATGAAAGGCCTCAAATCTATTGTGTAAGTTTTTTCTATTTCAGTTAAAGTGACTTGGTCGATCGTTGGATATCTAGGGTATTCGTTTCTGAACATTTTAATATTCAAATTTGCTTCCCAATTATCAGCTTGTTCATTGAAAATTTTATTTTGCAACAATACTATTAATTGAGAACGTAAAATCAGACCTCGAAAGTGACCATAGGAATGTATTTCAATCTGAAAAACAAAATACAAAAATAAATCTTATATAATGATACAAAAATATAACAGTTCTTGATATAAAATAAAATGTAAATACAAAATTTATTACCTGATCACTATTAGGGGGATCGACTATTGGAAACCCATTAAATGTCACGCATTTAAGAAGTTCTACAATATGTCCTACATTTTCTACTGTTTTTAGTGTTACCACAGGGTGACTCATTATTTCACTAACATATATGTTGTTTGATAATGGTGGTGCTTCCCATGGTAATATTGGGATTCCAGCCATTTGTATATGAATATCATAAATTCCCTAAAAAACGAATAAAAAAATATTATTTCGATCGTGTGTAAATACTCTTTTATCATATAAAACAATGATTAACTTATTCACGTGCCTCATTAAAAAAATCCCCAACCCATTTAGCCATAATAAGAACTATTATAACTGGTAAACCGAAAGATATTCCTTGAGTAGCTTCTATGAGTATGGCAGTTAAACTTATTGTCATTCTAACTACTCCGCCTAATTGGGCAGCTGCACCTAATAAAGCATACTTTCCAGGATCTAAAATAACCTGCAATAATATATAGAATTTCATATTTCATGCAATATTTCTTTTGCATATTCATATTTTCTTACGTTGTTGGGGACAAGTTTTGAAAGACCCGATCCTATTAGTCTACCCCATGCAGAACCAATTAAAAGAGTTGGAATGAAAAGTCCACTAGACATAGACAGACCAAAGGTGAAAACAGCCAGGAAAAAATAAAGTATAACAAAAATGACTAAAGTTGTGTCATTATGAGAGCCTAAAAACAAAACATTTGTTAAATACGGAGTCCGTCATCTTCTACGTATATAGCAGCGTACCTTTAGGGTCATGAAATAAAGATCGTACAGTACTTTCTGGTGTTTGGAACCATAAAGCTGCGACCACGTTATATTCGCCTTCATTACAGTACATCCGAATGGGAAATTTAGCGGGGGCTTTCCCTAATGGTTTGCAGTCGTTTATCATGTAAATCATTATAAATCCTATTGTTGCACTTAGTACACCTATTAAAAGAGCTTCTACTACTTTTAGCCATTTTCTTTTTATGAATTTGAGACGGAAACAGGTGATTTTGTAATTTATGTAATTCCAACAAGCGCCTAGAACTCCACCTATTACTCCCATTAACATGAATAGAGGAATTTCATAAATCTGATAAGACATTGAGCCAAATTTTCCCAAGTTTAGCAAACCCGGATAAGAAAGGTCACCAACTCGTCCATAATATGTACTAAGTACAATATTTAATGTAAACGTTGTAATCATACTGGCAAAACATATTCTCCATGTTAGACTTTGATTAAAAAAACTATTTCCTTCTTCAATAGTGAATAATACTCCTCCTAAATCATTTTTAAGCAATTAAATCGTAGTTTTATTATACTAATTATAATTTTTCTATTACTAACCGATTGGTGCTCCAAATGCAGCAGATACACCAGAAGCTGCTCCACCTGACACAAAATCTCGCTTCTCATGGTCTTCTCTAAAGTATTTAAATATTTTAAAATCTTTGTTAAATGTAGTGCTTTTTCCTTGCGATATCCCTGCTGCTACCACAGCCCCAGAATGTATCATAGGTCCTTCCTATAAACACAATAGTATTACATATGGAAACACTTCTTTATGCCATTCAATAATAAATAATGATAAGAGCAATAACAAACAATAATTACTTTCCCACCAGCCAGACCTCCCACTACAGTACAAATTACTCCAATTGTTTTTACTGCTAATGTTTTAATACGAACAACTCGAGGTACTTTAACTCCATTTAAATAACATTTCACCTGTGGTATACCGCTACCTGCAGCAACTGGTTCTATATAGGATACTAAAAGAGCTCCTATTAAGACAGGTACAAAATTTAGAACTAACCATATTAAATATGGTAGCCATAAACAATTTCTTGATACACATTGATCCATATCTGTTATTAATTGTAAGGAATAATAATTAAATTTATATATACTTTTTTACACTTGCACAGTGATATCAAAGGATACAAGATTTGAGCCATCCATATTTTATGTTTGTTAATTCATGTATTGAAATATGTACAAAACATGCTATAAGAGCTGTGAAGATCCCTATCAATAAGAAAATGAACCATCTGGCAAAATTTTTTTGAACTACAAATTTATATCCTTTTATCCTTTCTTCATCTTGCAGAACATTATTCTCACAGGGATCATAATCTAAACTCTAAAGAAAAAAAAAAAGTAAGATGTATACAACCAATGCCACTTCACAATAGAAAAATAACAATAAAAGTATTTAAACAATACAGAAACAAGTTACCTCGTAATTAGCTGATAAAAAGTTAGTGGCTCCAGGAGTAACTTCTTCCGAATTCAGTCTTCCTGAATTGTGCGAAAGTATCTCTTTGATATTTTGCAAAGACCCGCCATTCTGGTTGTATGTTACATTCTATCAAGAATAAAATGAGGAAGAATTAAAAATTGTACACAATATCGTATGATTATACGAAATGATATCAAAAAGAAACCGGACTTCTTTGGCGAAATTTTATTAACATGTTGACTACAAAGTTGCTTTTGATCGAATGTTATTATTGTTTTTTTTCATAGTATTATAAGTTCATGGTCTAACATTATACTTTCTTATTCTTTTCTTATTTTATTATTTCTTTAACCCTTTATATTCCTATCACTTTTGGTATGTACCAATAATTTTGTGACTAACTGTACGTACCAATAATTTTGTGACTAACTGTACGTATCAAGTGTTTTGGCAATATTGAAGATGATTATTCAACGATTAGTACAAACAATTTCCTGTATTTTAATGATATTTTCATCAGATGCGCTAATGCTTAGTCTTCTTGATTTGTTTTCATCCTCCAGTGACATTTAACCACTTTTAAAGTGAGAATGCTGCTTAATACATTCATTTTGTCTTGTAACATTGTCATAAACCTGTTGAAAGAGCAAATGTGAAGTTTTGCTTAATATATTAATTTTGGTTAGTAACATTGCCATAAACCTGTTGAAAGAGTAAAATTTCACATTTGCTCTTTGCTCTGATTTCAAATTCATTACCAAATCACAACTCGATACAATCACGCCTTTACTAAATAATATACTATTAAAGTCACAATGATTGCAGATCAATGGCACTTGACAAACTGCTGTTCCATTATCCATAGAGGTGGTCAACAAAGACACTAAATATTATCAATCGCGGACTCGCATTATCAAATACAATTCGGTTTCTTTGTGATACCACCATATACATAATTTTCTGCACCATGCAAAGCAGATCTTTAATTTTACTTTTGCAATTAATTTTAAGAAATTGAAGTAGAAAAAATACATGAATGATGACAGTCTGTTCATACAGTATGGTTTTTTGACCAATTTGATCATTTTACTAAACCGGTAATAGCTGAAAACAACAATCACATTGTTTTGCAATTTTATCACATGTTCAGCTTTCAAACATATAAATTGCCTTCTTTGTTTTTTTATAACTTCTAACATTCTTTGCCAAAATTGATTTATACAATTTTTTAATCGTTTTTTACTTTATATTCATTCATTCTTCTTCAACACATATTTTTTACTCTTCTACATTATTGAACTGCTTTTCTTTTGAGTACACTTCTCTAACGAGTATTCCCCAACAGTTTTCCATCATGTTTAAATCTGAAAATCTTGCAGGCCATGATAAAATATTTATTCTTTTTCTTTGAAAATAAGCTTTTATTGCTTTTGCAGTGTGCATAGCTGAGTTATCTCGTTGTGAGAAAAATTTTTGTTTCCCTCATTTAATCCTCACTTCATTTGCCCACTAATTTCTTCATAAATTATGTTGAAGAATATTCAGCAATTAAAGATGATTAAGATGAAGCCTAATATTTAGGTCAGTTTGATCACTGTCACGCTCACATGTTTGCATCCATTTTTGACAATTTTCTCATTGTTTCTCAACAAAATGATAAGGACAACTTTTGTTCTTTAGATATCACTGTAAACGGTCCTGTACAAATTTTTCATTTCCAGATAGGGCCAAACTTGACCATTTTTAACCATCCTCCTTTTTTGTTACAACGCAGATTTGCGTGGTTTTATCTAGTATCTTATAGTATTGTCAGAGAGTATATATTGTAGGTACATTTCTTCTATATTTGAACATGTATTAGCAGCACAAAAATCCGTAATTTAATTATGAGACAGGTATTCACGTTAATCTTCTCAAAACGTAAATAGAATGAATAAACAGACAAAGAAAGTAGGCATACATACGCATAAAAATTTTATTTTCTGTAGAGATTTAGAACTGTGTAAACACTGCTTTTGGTTATTACTGATTTGATAAAATAATGGAATCGGTCAAAAAGTCATAACGTGTGAACAATTACAAAAGGTGTCAATTAGATTATGCTATGCTGCAAAACAAAGGTAAAATTGAAATTTTACTTAGACAGATAGCGTATATACTTATATTGGTACGGTTCTCTTACCCGAAATCTAACATTGATGGTATCATTTGAATACGACGCAAAATTGTTCCTCGGTTTCAACAACCGTTCTCTGTCGTCTTCGTTGTTTATATAATTGTCAACATTATCTTCGACGCTGCTGTTTATCATCACATTTGTATGCGTCAAGAAATCCGTCATTCTTTATATACTGTCACTTCAATCACAAAATTAAGGTCGATAAAATTATCACGCTGCTGTACATTTAAGTACTTCGTTCTTTGTTAGTAATATCATACTCGTATACCTCGTCTGTGGTAATATCATTGAGAAAAACACCGCTGACACTTGCCTTCCTTTTTCGACCTTACGAATTTCTATGAGCTCACGTACACGCGATCGAGCATAGTGTGCGAAAGTGCTATTACCGCGTGCTGACAATACATACTGACAATCACGTGATCAATGTTATGATTCATGTTTCATAAAAATGGTCCTCAACTTTCAACAATCCTGACGTTTCTTCATTGTAGGATATTATTTCAGTTGATTGGATTCTTACTTTGATCAAGTTTGTATTGCTAAGAGAAGTTGTTTGTCTATTTATCAGATATACAGGTACATACTTCGCTTATGAGGGACAATGAAGATTGAAGGTTGAGAAGCACTCGTTTACGCGATTCCGGAAGTTCGTTACTGATAGTAGAATGCGCAAGCGCTCGTTATCACTAGATGGCTGGAACTGATTAAAATTGCTACTTATGAATCATGAATGATTCGATCACGTGGAGAGCATAATTGTTCTTTGCATGCGTCGTCAAAATTAAAACTCTAAATTCATAGTGATTTTTGTCATGATGTTAAACAGTACAGCAATCACTGTTTTAAAAGAATCCAGTTGTAAATATTGAACGAATATAATCGTACTTGATTTATTTAAATATAAACAAATATTTTTTTACTTTAGTTAAGTAATGTACAGTGGTCCGCTGACTTGAGGTCTCGCGGAACGACACAGGAGCAAGGGGAGTCGGACAGCCTATTTATCTATCTGGCTCCCTTGCTCTCAGGCAGTCCACATGTGTGTGTAACTGCCGCGACGAATAGCGGAGCTAGAGATCAACGTGTGCGTAAGAATCGTGCATCCCTTTTACTTCTCCCGCATTCTTTCCACAAGCTTCAAGTCATCGGAGTACTGTACTGGTATTTTACGAGACTTTATACATAATATAGTATACATGTATAAACATAACAGAAATTGTTCGCACTTTTACACTATTATTTAAATGAGTAATATTACGATGTGACATCGAGATGAATATTTTACCCTTCAAAATATTGATATAAGATAGGGGAAAGAAAATTGAATTGCTTTTTATTTTTAATATTAAATCAAATAAATATACGTTATACGCAGAAAACGTAGCATAATTTAAAATTTATATTATATCCAAGCTGTATGTATTATAGTATTTTATAAAAAATAATTCAATCAAGATCGAGAACTGTGATGACTAAACTGCGAATGTTTATGCATTTATGGGAAATTTTAATTCTCAAAATACTACAGAATGCACTTAACATGCAAACATATAAGAAATACTTCAAGTAGTATACGAATTATTATATTTAGGAGTTGAGACAACCTTCTACAAAGCTCCTATTTTATTAATTTTATTAATAAAAATATGAATTTGCATAAAGATCCGCAGTCTAGTGATCACAGACTGTGATTCACAGTGAACATACAAGCACATAACTCCGAACTAAAGAATTACGATCACAGTTGTGAATGAAGTTAAATCACGATTTAGTGATAGTGATTTTGCATGCCGTCAAACTGTGCCATCTCTAGTCATTCCTAGCTGCAGAGATGCCAGAAGTGCACCGAAGGCATTCTCTCACACTATGCTAGATCATGAGATCACGCATACATATGTACGTTCATACATAGGAATAATAAAAAAGAATTTCTTTTTTTTCAATAATTAAAATATGATCAGGGGGTCTTAAAACGTGTATTTCCGTAAAATAAATTTTACAAAATTTTTTTTCATTATGGGTACTTTGCTTATGTCGGCTACATAGATCGGAAAGTAAAAATGCCTGGACAGTCGAAAATCGGCTCGAGATTCCAAATCGTATGCCGTTGACGAGAGGTCGGATTTCAGTTGTTTAAGAGCGAGAAGGCAAATGTGAGCCTTTTTCTCTCAACTCCCACGAGGCGGTCCGAAATTACTTCGGGCAGCTTCGGAGAATCGAGAAAGAGGGAATGCGTCAGTTTGCCTTTGTCGACTTTCCGAAACTCTACGAGTTCACGTACGCGTGATCTGACATGTCGAGTAGTGGTGCTGAATCTGACATCTCTGCCTAGTTGTCCGTGTCACGGGTGTGATAGAATGCATCGTTTGAAGTTCGGAGTAGTATGCACTGTTCATTAATCGTTGACAAGTTTTTGTTAATAATTGTATTAAGAACGATGGAGACATTATTACGAACGTTTTTTAGTTATTAACAATTGTTTCATTAGATGTTAATTGCAAGTATTAGAAATTATTGAAATTTGTTTACACTTTATATTGAGGTTAATAATATATAAATAATACGATTCTATTACTGTTACTACTCTTATTTTTACAAATTAAAGTTTTTAGTGTCTTTTGCTATATTATAGAATTGAATTTTCATATCATGAATTATCATAAACATACAATTTTTCAGTGAAACAGATCAAAATGTCTAACAGCAGTTCTAATTCAAGTGATAGACCATCACTTTTACGATCCCCGCAAGAACGTAAAGAAACTTTAAGGAAAATGATAACAAGAGCTGAATCTCTTCGTAAGACTTTTATGTAAATAGTGTATACTTACAGTTGGACAAATTTTATTAATGATAAATAAATTATAAATTTTTAACTCATTCATAAACTAATTTCTGTTTGTGTTTTATTTGTACATTACATTCCATTATATATTTTTCTGAATTTTATAACAAGTAATAATGTACAATTTGCAGAAGAAACAGTTAGTGACAATACGATAGGAACTTTGGAATCATGCATGGAAGAAACAGACAACATAAACTCTGAAACAAGCTTAGAAGAAAAAAGTATATAGTTTTCAAATATTTGTTTGCTTTATGTATACTTCTATCTATGATTTTGTAATGTTATTTTTAGTACATAATCAAGAAGAAGTATTACTGGACTCAGAAATGATGAGCATATCTTCAAAAATTTTAAAACAATGTACCCGAACTTTAACAAGAAATGTGTGTTCTTATAATCATATAGACTTTGCCCAGAAAGTGGTATGTACTAGAATAATGAGCATATTACTTTCTTCTTATTTATTGTTTTTATAATAAACTTTTAATAGTTTTTTTTTATATAGGTACAATATGTAAAACTACTTCCAGATTGTGAGCCAGAATTACCAGATTGGTCACTTCTAAAGACACAAACTGCAAAATGTTTTAAAACAACACCTCAATATAGCTCATTATTAGGTTCAATGAAATGTTTCGATTAAATTTTCATACTTAATATTAAAAAATAATAAATTTGTTTTTTCGTTTATCTTTAGGTACTTTAGCACCATTAGAAAAAAAGGAAATTAATAAAAGAAAGTCAGTAGTTAGTGAAATTCCAGCACAGATAAAAAGACCAAGAAATGTTGATACAGTTGATAAAGAAGATCAAGGTTTAGAACAAACTGTGAAAGTGAAAGAATTTATTACACAATATTGTAGAACTCACCATAAACCTCTCGACTTTTTTCAACTGATTTTACATCCAACTCACTTTGGAAAGACAATTGAAAATATTCTGCAAATATCTTTTCTTGTCAGAGATGGAAAAGTAAAAGTAATAAAAGGTAACTTTGTATAATTGTTAAAAATATAGTTCTTACTCTATCATCTAATACTATACTGTTTTAATTATAGATGATTCTGGAACATTGGTTGTCCAATCGTGCACAAAAGATACGAGAGCAAGGACAATTCTGAACATTCAAAATGTTCTCGATTTAACCATGGATCAATGGAAGGTATTACTACTGTTCGTGAAGTATTGTAATTTTATGCTTTTTCCACATCTGATGAGTCTTTTCTATTTCAGATGTTAAAAAATATTTATCAGTTGGAAAAACCTATGATTGATTTTGTTAATGAAATATAATATTTCATTTTTATATGGCATATAATAAAAATAGCAGCATTATTTTATACCACGATCCTGTTTCATATAATAAATATATTTTTTCACATTTAAAACTATTTGTACTTTTTTTAATTTCAACCTAAATTAAAAACTAAAGTTTTGCGAAAACGGAGGACCTTCAAAATATATATGTATCCGTACGTTTTTGTAAAATTTTTATTAATTTCTAACATATACTGCACTGTTTATGTATATGTTAAATAATAACAATATGCTTATCGATTTTATCTATAAACGAGAGCATCCTGAACAAAATTACACGGAATTATGTAAAACTTATGATTAATTATGTTCACGATGTTCTCAATAATTTTGTATGCATTTGTGAATTTTTGAAGAAAAAAACAATCTTCTAACCACCATTCTGTAATTTTGTTCAGATACTATACCCTTGAATAAATGTAAATATTTTTGATAGATAAAAAACAAGCAGACCTGTATTATTAGAAGATCGTTTTAATTATTTAATAATGACATGATTACGATGACTGTGAATTGACTTATTATTTAGCCAACGATTCTGCTTTTGCTACTACTTCTTCAATTGGTCCGACCATGTAAAATGCGACCTCTGGAAGATGATCGTAATCGCCAACTAAAATTTTTTGGAATCCTTTAATAGTTTCCTGTAACGGTACCAATTTTCCGGCATGACCGGTAAACACCTCGGCAACCTAAATAAAAGTTGTTGACAATGATTAGTAAAAAGAATAATAAAAGTGCGTAACATCAATAAAACAACACTTATATACCTGGAATGGTTGAGACAAGAACCTCTGAATTTTACGTGCACGTGCTACAGTGATTTTATCTTCCTCAGACAACTCGTCCATACCTAAGATGGCGATAATATCTTGAAGTGATTTGTAATCCTGCAAGATTTTCTGCACGCCACGAGCAACGTTATAATGTTCAGTACCAATGATGTTGGGGTCCATAATACGGGAGGTAGAATCAAGAGGATCCACGGCAGGGTAGATACCTATTGTCATTAAAGAATAATGTTAGTTTTTGGTAAAATTTACAATCTTCTTTTTATTTCCGAGTTCCACTAGAATAAAAGTAACAATTATTATAATTACCAAGTTCAGCAATAGCTCGGGACAATACAGTAGTAGCATCCAAGTGAGCAAAGGTGGTGGCAGGAGCAGGATCTGTCAAGTCATCAGCAGGCACATAAATAGCTTGCACAGAAGTGATAGAACCCTTCTTGGTTGTCGTAATACGTTCCTGCATGCTACCCATATCAGTTGCCAAGGTTGGTTGATAACCCACAGCGGATGGAATACGACCCAACAAGGCAGATACCTTGACAAGTTAATGATTATTAATAAAAATTATAGTTTTAAATTGGTAATACAACAGAATGACGATTAAACATACTTCCGAACCAGCTTGAGTAAACCTGAAGATATTATCAATAAATAGCAGTACATCCTGTCCTTCTTGATCACGGAAGTATTCAGCGACGGTTAAACCAGTCAAGGCGACACGAGCACGAGCACCGGGTGGTTCGTTCATTTGTCCATACACCAAAGCTACCTTGGAGGTCTTATCCTTAAGCGAGATGACTCCAGATTCAATCATTTCATGGTACAAATCATTACCCTCACGTGTTCGCTCACCCACACCAGCAAACACAGAGTAACCACCATGAGCTTTGGCTACATTGTTAATCAACTCCATAATCAGTACAGTTTTGCCAACACCAGCACCGCCAAACAAACCTGTTTAATTATAGCATTTATAAATACCAACAAATTAAATTGCAATATGAAAATATATGTATAGATATAAACTGTACCAATCTTTCCACCCTTAGCATAGGGAGCAAGAAGATCAACGACCTTAATTCCAGTTACCAGAATCTCTTGTTCGACTGACATTTCTACGAATTCAGGAGCATCTGCGTGGATGGGGGCAAGTTTGTCAGTAGGGATAGGTCCACGTTCATCAATTGGTTCACCAATAACGTTAATAATGCGACCCAAAGTTTCAGCGCCAACAGGAATACGAATAGGATATCCAGAGTCCAAAACAGTCTGGCCACGGACAAGACCTTCAGTACCTGTATAATTACAATAAATGGCATTATAGGAATACTAAATTAAAATATGTTCATTATTTTTACTTTTTCAGTATACTATAATTAAAGTTTACCATTATATGATAAAGTTTATTCATTATACTATAATTAAACAGGTATATTTAAGTTACAATATAAACTTTACAAAAAGAAAAAAGAAAATTACCATCCATAGCAATGGTGCGTACTGTGTTCTCTCCCAGATGCTGAGCGACTTCAAGGACTAATCTGGGACTCCGATTTTGGACCTCCAATGAATTAAGAATTGGTGGCAGTTCATTATCAAATTGTACATCAACAACTGCACCAATAACAGCAACAACTCTCCCTTGTGCACCACCCTTACCACTTGCAGCTTTTGCATAATCTCTACCTAATTGTAAATAAACATTCTCTTTAATTATTCATCTTTGTATATGATAAATCATTGTTTGTTAAGCTTTAAAATTATATATTTGGTGTTTAAACATTTTGTATAAAATACACACTCATATAGAATAATTATGCATAGAATAATCATTAATATAAGCACAAAATAATATTAGATAATGCTTATGAGGTAAGTTACATAATACAAACTGCATGTGTATACTTTAATAGAAGACTAAAAATTTCAAATTTTTAACCGTGAATATCTTTTAAATCTTAAATAAAATACGTATTGATAGAATAAAAAGAATGATTTACAAATTTTTGTGAAAAAATATGGACAATTGATTATCCACAAGAGATGACTGACGATACTAATAGGAGAAAGAAGAACCAAAACATAAAATTCGAATCACAATAAAAATATTAATTGCAATCATATTAATAAAGTAAATTATTTCAGCATAGTAAAAAATTATTCGAAGTGACCTTAATGCCGCCATATTGGCACAGTGGTATCACACTGCGGCTCGGTCAAATAATACGGGTTATATAATCAATACACTTCCTTTTCTTTAGCTTGTATGTCAATTCGAAAAAAAAGAACAACGTTAACTTGGTGAGGATTGTCAGAACAAGGTGGAAATCTATACAGAGTGATGCTAATTACACAATAATTTTTTTGTTATGATATGTCTATTAAATATAATGCACAATATCAAAATGATGAAAAATGCAATTAATGAATGAAAAGACGAATTTGCTGTAATACTCACTATTTACAGATAGTACTCCGCATACTTTTGGAACTTCATTTTGAAGAAGAGTAGGTTTGACGGTTCTCAAGGCTCCAGCAGCCGCTTTCGTTACAGCGTTCAACATCTTGGCCGGTCAAGTGAAGAAAGGCGACCGGAATGGTCTCTGATTCGTATGGACTCGATGGCCGTACCCTATACTATTTGCGCGTGCGTTCTATACGAAACCATTTCTACGCATACTTGTCGCGCAGTTTATGATTATGGATCATCGACTTTCCTCCGTTGCCCCATTAAGCCGGCTCCTTATGAAAGAGTTGAGCTAGATTTATTTCAAATTTAAAATAAGCATAACGATTTAAAACAGCATCTTAAACTTTTTATCTGCAATAACATTACGGTAAACTACAAAATGATTTACTTAAAAAAGCAAAAGTTTTAAATAATATTATTTTGATTATGCTCAGATCTGTTGTTAGATTTGCAAAAAAATGATTCTTCTAATCATTAAAATCTGATTCATGAAAAATATTATAATTTTGTCATTTCCTTTATTGTGTTTTAATCTGATTGATAGAAAGTATTCGTTCAATTCACATTGTCTATAATGTCAACCCGCCAATTACGAATGATTGTGATTATATAATTGCACATGCATGTACAATTACTGATCTAACCCAGAGATGCCAGAAAAGCACCGTCGGGTGCACACGCACACATGCCAGATACGCGTACGTGAGCTCGTGGAGTTTCGGAAAGTCGACAAAGGCAAACTGACGCATGCCCTCTTTCTCGATTCTCCGAAGCTGCCCGAAGTAATTTCGGATCGCCTCGTGGGAGTCGAGAGAGAAAGGCTCACATTTGCCTTCTCGCTCTAAACAACTGAAATCCGACCTCCCGTCAACGGCATACGATTTGGATTCTCGAGCCGAGATTCTCGACTGCCCAGGCATTTTTACTTTCCGACCTATGTAGGCGCACATAAGCAAAGTACCCATAATGAAAAAAAAATTTTGTAAAATTTATTTTATGGAAATACACGTTTTAAGACCTCCTGATCATATTTTAATTATTGAAAAAAAAGAAATTTTTTTTATTCCCATGTATGAGCACACATATGTATATTATTAATACGATTGAATATAAATAGCTGAATGAATTTAAATGAAACTTTACATTTAAGTTTTATGTTCTCATTTCAAAGGCGTGTGGACGGATTCAAATACGTGAACACTAAACGTAACGATGTAATTATATTATTTAATATTTACTAACTATTTAACATAAAGAACATAAAAGAAAGACATAAAACGTAAACGTAAAACTGTGATTGCTCTCGACTAACGTTCGATACAGAGTGACGTTCCTGCAGTCAAAGTCGACCCTTCCTTATTCCTATCTTATAATAATGATCTAAACAAAACGCACGTTCGAGACGCAGTCTCTAAAACGTATTTCAGCTTAAACCTAAACACCTCACTCGATACCTACTCTAGCTTAGACTAAACACTCCTATCGACGCAAACGATAACGGTTCTCCTAGCCACACACATACACTCCTTACAGATTATACCTCTTGTTTCATAGTTGTTCCGATATATAGGCATAATTTATAAAAAATCTTTTAAATGTTTCATATAAATCTTAGGACGAATTAAATTTTATATAAAAAAAATTATATAAACTTTTTCTCTATCTTCTCTAGAAAAGAAAACATTAAATGAAATCTTATACATTACATGCTTACTTAAATCGCATTGAAAACGAATACCACAAATGTTTTAGAATAATGTGCAAAATGTGATTGCGACTTTCGCTAAGACAAATTGAAAACTCGTTTCTAACAAGGAAAAGTTGGAATGGTACCAGGTTTTGGGTTAGGTTTTACTTTGAGATATTATTAAAGTTATTACAGGTACTTATTTTCAGAAATAGAACTATGTTCACCACTAATCAGCGTGGCGTGAGTGATGAGGTCTTTGCCTGCAAGTTCCGAACTTCTTCTGCTCTGCTGGTTCGAACCCTGCCTTGAACTTTTTTTTTTTATTTTTTCAATCATACTTTAATCGTACACTAAATATGACATGTATTTTTGTCTGACCTTCGAATATTTTTTTTTAAAGTTAAATTTAACCGATTACATTTAACATATGTTATTTTCAATGTACGAAGTACATGAATCTGGATGGTACTTTTCACAAAAACAGTCAAAACATAAAAATTTCAAACACCACGTACATTTACTGAAAGTTTTGTTTTCACAGAAATAACAAAATTTTGTATTTAACTCTGATGGAAAGACCGCTTCATTTACATTGATAAAATGTGAACGATTTTCGGATAGTCGTACCTTGTAGCTCGTACTTTTTACCTTATACTTCAGGTAAAAAGGGATATAGCTGGGAAAAACAGTTTTATGACATACCTGCTAACTTATGTTACTGTTCTACAATGAAACGCTATGTTTTGTACCTTTAAAAATATTCGACTATGTCCTTTTAAAATTTAAGATACAACCCATACTTTGTATTAAACTGGCAAACGGGATCACTTTTCCTTTGTTTCTAGTTAGTTCTATTTAGTTCGTCATAACAAATTGATACGGTTATCTGAAAACAATCGAGGAAAATCATTATTAATTAATTTCTGCAATTATTAATTCTACTGTTTTGTTTGTTATAAAAGTAAGAACTCTTCTTATTGAAAAATACCACAGCGTGCACAATACTGGTAAAGAGTGGAATCTCATTTTAATTTATTAATTTTCAATCTTAGAGTATTTTGATTTTCAAAAATCGTATTAATAATATACATATGTGTGCTCATACATGGGAATAAAAAAAATTTCTTTTTTTTCAATAATTAAAATATGATCAGGAGGTCTTAAAACGTGTATTTCCGTAAAATAAATTTTACAAAATTTTTTTTTCATTATGGGTACTTTGCTTATGTGCGCCTACATAGGTCGGAAAGTAAAAATGCCTGGGCAGTCGAGAATCTCGGCTCGAGAATCCAAATCGTATGCCGTTGACGGGAGGTCGGATTTCAGTTGTTTAGAGCGAGAAGGCAAATGTGAGCCTTTCTCTCTCGACTCCCACGAGGCGATCCGAAATTACTTCGGGCAGCTTCGGAGAATCGAGAAAGAGGGCATGCGTCAGTTTGCCTTTGCCGACTTTCCGAAACTCCACGAGCTCCCGTACGCGTATCTGGCATGTGTGCGTGTGCACCCGACGGTGCTTTTCTGGCATCTCTGATCTAACCTAAGATGTCTTTCTAATATATAGTATCGATGGTAGACCACGAGTCCTGAAAAAGCCGGTTGTTCCGTTTTATTTTATCTCAATAGCAGTACATTTGAACAAAAATAAGTATAAAATGGTTGAGGAACAAAGAAGACGGGTTGAAGATCGTATTAATGAAATGATGGAGGAGATTGATAAATCGTATCTAAGAAAAATGCAGGTACATTTAATTCTTTGTAAAGTATTTTTAGGTTATATCATAGAACATGCTTTACCTCTAATGTTCTAATATTATAAAATCATTTAAAAATTGATTATTGAAATCAAAATTTATAAACAATTATGAAATTATTAAGATATACCAACGAGTGTTTAATTTCAGAGTGACATGCATAGATGTGCTGCAACTTGTTGTGATAATGAAACTTATAGTATACAGAAAGTACATAATTGTGTAAGAAACTGCAGTAGTTCTTTGAATAAAGCTCAAGAGTACATTCAAGGAGAAGTAGTAAGAACTCAGGTATATGTTTAATTTTTAAAGATAGAAAATATTAACTGTAAGTCAATATATTAAATACAAAACATTATTTTTTTAGAATCGGTTAGAAAGATGTGTTATGGATTGCAATGATAAAATAAAAGACAAAATGGGTCCAAACCCAAGGCAAAGTGAAATCGATAAGTATAATGACGATTTTCAAAAATGTGCCACAATCTGTGTAGACAATTATTGTGATAGTTTACCTTCTTTAGTACAAACAATGAAGCATGTTTTATCGAATAAAAATTATGAATAGTAACAAAAATGAAATACCTATTTTAGTTGTATTAAGAAGAATTGTTATTATTATTGTTACAACATATTTGTTTTCAAAATATTTAATGGAATTGTTTGTCGGCGATCCTTCCTACCCATTAAAGTGTATGTCGCAATTGTTGCAAAAATATGTGCATGTGGAGGAGGGAAGAAATAACAAATTCCATGATCATAGTATTTATTAACTAGTACACTTGATGATTGCAGTGGTACATTTTTGTTTCTCTTTATTTTCTCTCTCTTGTTCAACGTAATAACAAATTCACCGTTGCAATTAATATCATTTCTTTATTGTTACAATAGACATTACGCTTATTGCACACTTTTTTCATGATATAAAACCTTCCCACCACTCTCGCTCGATACAAAATAATCGGTCAAAATATGTCGCGTAAATTCTGATCTAAACTGTAGAAATCTGCAAATAAATCGTTTAAATAATAATAATTTAAATATAAATATCAACACAATATAGTTCACTTGTTTCTTCGTGTGTACGAGTTTCTATGAAAGTTGACATTGGGCTTTATATCTTTCTTATTTGTTCTTGAAGATTAATGTACAGTGTTCGTCTTCAATCCCTTTTCAATTCTTGTCGTAGCTGCAAAGATTAAGGTGGCTCGGTGCATTTATTGCGCAATATAAAGGTAAGCGAAGTAGCTAGCAGTAGAGGCAGCCCTTCGCCGATATGCAAATTCGCAAACATTCGACGAGTGTTTACATTTCGAACAACGACACTACTTTGTTTTTCTTCGCCATGCGCTTGTTCAAAACTCCTAAATATGACTCGTACATGTGTCGTTTGTGGCTCAATGTCGTTAAGTGGAATGGCATGAGTTTTGGGAAATGTCAATTTTCTCAGATGTCTCGAGGTATAAGTGAATGCTGCGGTATATTTCGCACCTGGCGTCGCACGGATTGAGAAAAAAAAGGTCTATGTAACATTTTGTATCCCAATCAGTCAGACTCTTCGGACTAGATTTTTTTTTTAATAAGATTGAGATTACGCGCTGCTTTATCAAACGCTGGTCATATGTGAGTAGCTGTAGATACGCCTGGTAGAAAAAGAATTGAAGGTACAAGGTGAACGTAGGTTACGGCGCTGTGGCAACAAATTTGGCCAGTCGTGCGTTTCGCCTCATACAAATTTCAGTTCCAATTATTGCTCACACGTTTTCTTCCTCATAGAAATTGAACTAGATTCGACGACGATACAAAACAAGACAAGTATAGACCTACGAATTCTGGTTCGGATTTTGAGGTAATCGGATATCACAAAAATACAAAGAACAGTATATCAAATTTTGGAAGTTTTTGCTTAAGCGCAAAATTTAAATGCGGACAATGCTCTAAAAATGGATGTAAAATTTACAATTTTCAAGCAATAAATATTTTATAGAAATTCAACTAATAAGTTTTAAACTAAAATAGAAATCACTTTGATTTGTATCCAATTAAATTGTAATTTGCTCTAATTTCCAGTTGCGGAGCAGAAATGACTTTGAATACCATGGACAGGACTAATTAAATGTCCATCCTTGTAAAGTCCAATGCGAAACATATAAGAGTACTGGTCAAGTTTGCCGGAACACCCATTCGAAAAATTTCTAAATAGAACTGCGTTTCTTGGTCCTATCCTAAGCTATCACCGATTGTAAATTAGTTTCTCCGATCTTCATTGCTTAATTAATATCGTATTTAATTGTGCACCTGCAGAATGGAACATTCAAAGTGTCCTATCAGCAGGCTCACACCGCACTATATGCTGTGATCATCGCGGAGCAAAACACTTGTTTCGTAGCTGTGCAACTAGTTCATGATCGCCGTAATTTGTGTGTCTTTTTAATTTTACAATAGGTCTCAAGTTCTCAGAAAATATTACATTGTTGTTATCAACAATTCTGCATTGTATTTAATCGTAGGCGTTACGAACTCGCTGCATTGCTTACCGTATCATCATTGCAACTCGCCTAATATGGCTGGCATAAGGCTTAACCACGTCGTCACGAATTTTTCCTCTACTTACATGGATATTCAATTTGTACTTTGAAATTGAGTCAACTATTTGTTTCCTTCGCGAGCTTCGGTCGAAACCAGTTCCCATACAGTTATTAGACACCTTTAAAGAAAAACTTTGTAAAATTTTTACACGTTTCTAGATGGATGTCTCTTGTACTGCTTTAGATGTCACTCAGACCAGTGGTATAATTCGAATGTTTGGATACCTATCTAGAAACGAGAAAACGCCTGGTTATGTATCTCGAACATTACTACATGGTAACTGTTTCAATCAAAGCACAATTTAACCTGCTTGAAGAAATTCGTGCGCCGCGGACAAGCCTTTCATTTCAATTAAATAATAACTTTGTTAGCCGACCTAGCTAATCTGCGTTTAAAAAAGAAACATCAAACAACTAGAAGGAAAGACTACTGATTTTAAAGAAGAGAGTGCGTACTTTTAGGTAGAGTAGTAAGTATCTTCGAAGTCGTCGAATACGTGAGAATCTTCGGTATTTATAATTTTAATTTCTGCTGTTTGGCACTCGAGCCTTGAGCATGATCGTCACCCTTTAAGTTATAAAAAGTGTTGCTGTTGCATGATCTAATGATGTTGGAAAGAAACCCTTTCAAAGTGTTCGAACTTGATTAAAATTCTTATCAAAATAAAAAGGATGATAACAGATATTCGTCGAATGTAAAATACAAAGCGTGTTAGCTTCACAACCACGAATGACTCTCACGCATTCTTCAGGCTCCTATCACGTACATATTCTTTTTTTCTCTAAACGTTAGGGCTACCCATAATGATCTTTTTTCACAAAGTAAAGAATTTACTTTGGAAAAGAAACCTCACTGGAGAACACCAGGAGTGAAACAAAATCTCGAAAAAATGTAGTCGTGTAAAAAGTAACAGAAATAACGTGAGCAGCCCCTTTGCTTTTCGGCTTGCCTTGCAGAAAACCAAGTCGCACTTAAAAAAGGCTTAGAACACACTTTGAATATCGATCCCTGTAGGCGAATGAGACAACTCGCATCCAGTGGTGCACGTATTCACCCGCTAACTCTAAAAAGAAGAACAACCACCGTGTTCCCTACTCTCGCTCGCGCTCAATGACCCTTTTATTAAATTAAAAAATGGAACATCTCGTGCGTTTCGGAATATAGCAGCCGTTAACTATAGAAAGATCGAGCAAAACATACTTGGGAATGTTTTAAATTTCATAACGTTGGAATATTAAATGTATTTTGCAGTGCTACGTTCTGAAATTACTTGATCCTAAGATTTTTGTGGCAGTCATACAATTTAAATTGATATCCGTCGTTTTATCTAGTGAAATAATTACCGTCTTCTTAAATTCTATTTTAAATACGTCAACAAATTCATGTATCGCTCGATCGTTCTCGCGAAATCACCATCAAGACCATGACGTATTTTTAATTAAACACGCTGGTTTATGAAATTTCCACGTATCGTTACTTTACAAAATATACTTCTGGTCTTTTTCGAGTTAATTCAAGTAACAGTTTTGGAATCGTATGACCAGCGTCGCACGAGTATTCCTTTGTTAATATTCCTCCTATTAAATTTCGTAGTACATTCGATGCACAGACCGATCGCTACGATCTTAAAACCACATGTATGTACCGATCATATTTGTCCATTCTATATAGTTAAGTGTTTCCGACTGGAGGAACGAATTTTTTTAATAGACTCTAGAAAACATTGCGAATTCCGTTTAAAAAAGTACTGATTTACGATCGGTCCGCGCTCAAGGTATACTAATTAATAGCTGCTCCCAATGTGAAAATAGTAGAACTCTAACACAAAAATCAGATTTGCCTACATGGATCATCTCGACAACAATGCCTTTGTTAAACTTAGTGTTTCACAAAAGGTATAATGGTTTACCAAAAGGTGTAACCGCCCTCTGTTCCTCCTCCTAGGAAGTTTTTCTTTTGCGATATAGCCACACTGTGACTAGCCATTGCAGCTAGTTGGGCGGCGTTTGGAACTGTCGGAGGCGGTGGCAAGACGGGTTGTGAGATACTATCGAATCGATTAGTAGCATCGAAACCATTCTTTTAAAAAAAAAGAACCAACAATACATTAATATTCTCTTAAAATATTGGATTACGAGACATGTAATAAATCTCAATAACTTACAGGCATCACAATTGTGGGGGGCCTAACTGGAGGCTGCATCGTTGCTGCAGGATAATATGCTGCAGCTGCAGCTAACGGCGGATAATATTGTAATGGCCCATATGTAGGATAACATGCATTTGCTAAGTATCCTGGGTATCCTTGACCATACATTGGTTGATACATCTGCACAAAATAATCAAAAATTCGTCTATTATGTCTGCTGTCTTTTTCAGTTCAATGGAAGCAACATTTAATAAGCAGATTGTATGAGTGAAACTTGGAAGTTGTAACCACGTCTATTGGTGGAATATGGAAAAGTCAACGTAAAGAAATAATACATGAAATTTCAAGCAAACGATTATTAACAATTAATTTGATTCAATATTTTAAAAGACCTACATGAATCATTTTGAATATATTCTACTGGTTGAAAGATTGAAATACATGAAACGATCCGAGTTGATAGTTAAGCAAAAAATGCCAGAACTTTTTAACACACCTAATAAGTGTTCTGGTTTAATTTCCTACTATAGTTACATTCCTAGAATGTGTAACCAAATTCGACTATTGCGTCTGCTGTCTTTTTCAGTTCAACGGAAGCAACATTCTATAAGCAGATTGTATGAGTGAAACTTGGAAGTTGTAACCACGTCTATTGGTGGAATATGGAAAAGTCGACGTAAAGAAATAATACATGAAATTTCAAGCAAACGATTATTAACAATCAATTTGATTCAATATTTTAAAAGACCTACATGAATCATTTTGAATATATTCTACTGGTTGAAAGATTGAAATACATGAAACGAACCGAGTTGATAGTTCCTAGAATGTGTAACAAAAATTCTTACCATAGGATGCGTAAGAGTTTGATCATATGTCGGCGGCGGTGGGCCCTGGGCTGCATACAGTTGTGGCTGATTAGGAAACACTCCATACGGTGCGGCACCTGCAACTATTGTAAAGTTCGCATGCAATCGGATCATTAAAACCTCATCGAATCAACGCATCGAAACACAGAGATGATTCTCTTACGTGCACCACCGTAGGTAGCAGGCTGTGTCGGCGCAGGGACAAAACCTGTTGGTGGATGAGGTGTCACCGGGTATGCTGTAACACATGCAATGGAAAATGCAGGTCCGTTCATTTTGTTGGCCGTAGGTTCGATCTAAGCCAACGGTACGTGGTACCACTGCCAAAAAGGACAAGGGACGACACGTTTCAGAGATCAACAGAAAACGCTGAAACTGTTAATCGTTTCTCAATCTTCCATATTACATCCTATTAGTTTCTTCTTCGTTCTCTGCGGATCATCTGACTCGTGACATCGGCATCGAGAGGTTTTCGACGCTTTGTATAACGAATATTATTTATTTTAGCTATTACACTATTATTCGAGGCTTAATTTCAGATTATTTCGACATACACGAGTAAATGTAACGCAACAATCTTTCACTGAGCGTTGAAAACTTCTCGATTTCAAAAGTGGTACTCCCACACCCAAGTATATCTTACACATGACATACACCGTTTTTATCAAGGTACTATTCAAAGCTCAAACAATGTTAGTCACTAAATAATGGTGAAAAGAAATAACCGAAAAACTGTATTTTTGCCTTCTTGTTACCTTTTGAGTTTACCGCAGTTTCCAAGTCAGTTTCATTCGCGATAGTTTAGAGCAATATCGCAACTGCGAATAATGTATCGGAAAATTTATAATGCATCCGTGTAAACTGCACTGGTACAAGACAGGCTTTTGATAGTAAAAAACATTTACGACTCTTTCGAAAATCCATATTCACGGAAATTTCTTTCTTGTTCTTATAGAATCATTACACAATAATCAACACTGTATATCAAAGATTTTAATCCCGAGGATTCTCGATAGAAACGTAGTTGAAAGCGAGACACTTGAGAATAGCTTAGCGAACTATTAATTTCGGTATCTTAACCGTGAACAAATAAACAACAGCACATGTGTGTATATATGTATATATATATATATATATATATATATAAAAATAAATATATACATATATACATATATATATATATATATATTTAAAATCTGACATGGAGCAATCTGTGGTACATCTTGTCACTAGTTTTAAGTGAAATCAACGTCTTTGGCAACGTGCCAAGAGAAAAAAGAACAAAGAGAAAAATCCGCGTCAAAAAAAAAATTGAAGCCCGTCGAATTCTTTTCACCTTCTTAGAACGTAAATACACATAAAAGTTTTACAAACAAGTCTAACAATACAGCCACTACGAGTAATATTATATGTAATGTTTTGATAGTCAAAAGAATCGTCAGAAGTCGGCCAAGAATGAAAACGAAAGAGAGATAAAAAAAAACAATAAAAACAAGAAAATGAGAAACTATTCTCAAATGAAAACTCGCGTTAAATCGACCTACCTTTACTTCTAAAACTAAGATATAATACGAAACCGATCTCAAAGCAAATAGCGTTACGCAATCAAGGTAAAAGCCAAATACATTCGTCTAAATAGTCGAACCTTGGAAGACTTATCAACTGCTATCATAAATTACGAATAGGAATATCGATATCAATTGTAGCTAATTACTTTACACGATCTTATATTTTTTGCAAGTAAACACAGTCGGAAGATCGATCCTGTTTTATTCTAAATTATTTGTACGTGATATAAGGCTGACAATGAAAAACTGAAGTACACTTTCACGGATGTTGAAACATTTTCGTCGCAGTTGTGAATCGTTCAGGTTCGACCATATCGAAAAAAAAGAAATGACAAAAACAGAGCTAAAATAAAGCCAGGGATAAGAAGGGGTAAATGGGTTGTTCCAAAAAGTGATGTTAAAAACAAGCCCAATAATCAAGATTCGAATAAGTGAAACACTTTTGATAACCGTACAAATAATCCAATTAAACTCAATTCTCGCTCGGTTGACCGAAAAACTATCGTTCGTTTCGGGCGGTGAATGTGTAATTTATACAATGAGTACAGTGGTACGATAAGAAAAATAAAATATATATATACACATATATATATATATTATGTATATATGTATGTAATATTCAACATACATACATATATATATGTATATATACATACATATACATATATACATATATATACACATACATATATACACACATATGTTTATGTATATCAAGTTCCACACATTCAAAAAATTGTGACAAGATTCAGCAAACCACAAATTTCTGCAAATATCCATAAATAAAAGTCAAACATGATTAAAAGTTCTTCGTAATTGCGTAATATATATTATTAATTGGGCGCTACTCGCACGAATTTTGCCGCGAGCTTTCTTCTGTCGTTAGCCTCATTCGACCACTCGTTCTCGCTGGCAATCGCGAGAACGCCCAATTTCTTTTTTAGTAGACTAAATTACGCTCTGCACCGTCGCCATTTAGCATACGCAAAAGTGAATCGACAGACATGCTCGATTTCTAATACAGCGATCTTTTAAAGGAAGCGAATTCGTCCCCAACGGTTACAGGTTGATCATTATTCCCGAATTTCTAAACGTGTTTATCACCTTGCGTACAATAAACAGCTCGGGCCCAGCAGCAGTGGATGGACATGTTGTACTCTAACATAGACGTCAGCCCACACCAAATTGTCCATGATAATTGAATACTGGTCCAACGCGTGGAAACGAGCTATTCTCGAATTACGTTATATTGCTCTTGATTATCGCGCGTGTAGGTCGGCACAGTTTCCTTCGTCCTCCGCCTCGTTGGCGGCAATTCGACGCTAACCAAAATTCATCGGATCGCGAAAGAGAAGGCTCGCTGGGATCCACCGGTCGGTTCAGTTTTCAATCGAATAATAAATTTATGTGTCAGTGCCACGGTGCAAACAATCATCGAATCCAATAACAATTGATCATAATATTAATATGCTAGTACGAGTTTACTGGGTAACTTTAAAAAGTGTCTTATTTTTTTTTCTCCGTGTTCTCCTAATTTCCCTTTTTCAGTCTCTCCCTCTCCGCCTCCCCTTTTCTTGCTGCTCTTTGCCTCGACCCGTCTTTCTCTCGTACATGCACGCATTTCCTCTCGGTCTTTCTCCTCGTCCCGTTCTTAAAGCCTGATTTGTCCCAATGAGCATGTTCGACCCAGTTTTTCGTCAGAGTCGTATTGTCTTTCGAAGTTTCGCCCGTATTCGCGAGAGAAACCGGGCGAATCCTGCCCCGTTTCTTCATCGGTTCCGCGGCCCATCTATTTCTGCTAGACGATTTTATTCATCGAAATGCTTCCGATGAAATAGTCCTCGTATCTCGACGATCCCAGCGACCAAGCGATGATCGACGATCTCGTTTTACGCGCGAGAGAAGTCGTGCAATTTTATCCGTATTCGTTGATAGAAAAAAAGGGGGATATACCGTTCAGGATATTAATAAAACGTATCCCTGAAGAAATTACCGATACATGCAGGGTGTTCGACCGACCTCTAGGAAAAATTTTAATGGGAGATTCTGGAGGCCAAAATAAGACGAAAATCAAGAATATCAATTTCTCGATTGAGGCTTCGTTAAAAAGTTATTAATAAATTAAATTAAAAAATTTCAAATCGTTCTGGAAAAATTATTTTTGATTGTAAGGATTGATTACAACCATTTTTGGTCATTACACATACCTCCGAATTCCTACGCATTTTCGAGAAAAAAATTCCTTACCGAAAATCTAATGTGAGGCCAGACATGCTTCTGCGAATTTTAAAATGTCATAACTCCTGAACGAATTGTAATATTTAAGTGTTTCAAACGGCAAACAACGCGTATTTTAGTGTACAATATATAGATATTCCAAGAATATTCGAAAAATTGTTCCTTGACACCGTAAAGGGAGAAAAACACTGTAAAAATGGTCCAATTTTCAAACGACCATAACTCCTAGAACAGTGAATATATTTTAATGAAATATTTTTCTGAAGTAGAGCTCATGGAAACTCACAAAAAAGTATTAGACAAAATTTCCGTACAGCGTCAAACAAATTTATTAAAAATAAAAAACGAATTTTTAAGAAAAATCGACAGGGGGTAGGTGCCTAAATTTCTCGACGAAAAAATATTTCGAATCATTCTAAAAAAATTATTTCTAAGTTCTGGGGTCAAATACAACCATTTTTGGTGAATATACATATCCCCGAACTCCTACGCACTTTCGAGAAAAAAATTCGAGTAGATGAACTTTTTCGACAAAATTAAAAAATTTCAAATTGTTTTGGAAAAATTATTTTCGGTTGCGGGAGTCAATTACAATTATTTTTGGTGTATAGACATACCCCCGGAATCCTACCCACTTTCTAGAAAAAAATACAGTACGGGCGGAACTTTAAACGTTAATAACTTTTTAACGAAGCCTCCATCAACAAATTAGTATTCTTGATTTTCGTCTTATTTTGGCCTCTAAAATCCCCCATTAAAATTTTTCCCCGGGGTGGCCGAACACCCTGTATAGCTGAGTTTTTATTCCGACGTCAACATGATGTTAATGAGCCTATAATGGCATTTTTCGACATGATGGCCGAAATGTTTTCGATACAATATATAAAAGGTGAAAGAAAAAGTAATTGGAGTGAGTTATGGTTTGGTATAATAGATGAGATTCTATTTGAAACGCTGTAAGATGGTGATGTGAAACCATCTCAAGTAGAATTTCGTATATTATATTTGGTAAGGCCATGACCATGACAACATATTTCAAGGTCATGAAAATCGGCGATCAGGGCAAACATCTAAATAATTACCAATTTTCCTTTATATTCTTTATAATGATCAAAAAATGCTGTTCAAAGCTATAATTTAAAAATGTTATTTCTCTACACATTTATAGAACAATTATTACCGTGATTCTGTATCATTGGCAAACTTTTATTTTAAGTTTTTATTGTATGTTCGGATATTTTTGATCGATTCGCTTCGTCAAATATCGGTCCAGGTCGCTGGGTCTGGAGAAATTAGAGGCACTCTTGACATTTTCGACGACACTCGACTACACAGTATCGTCGAATCGCTATCTCATACTTAAGCTCACTATTAACAGTATACATGATAGATTCTGCCAAACATGCACATGCAGTTCAAAAATGCTCGAGAGATTCCTATGATCTTGCGGCGACAAGTGAACACGTAATCTGAACCGGCACGTCTATCGACTATTGCTCGAGAACTTTTCAAATAACCAAAGATAAAACTTCCGTAATGTTAATGAATTCGATGTCTCGTTCACAACAGGAATAGGAACATCTCTGTATCGACTCCAAAGACACTACGAAACTGTTTGACTACACGATTAAAAAACGACGAAATCAATTCGTTCGATACCTTCTTAACATTTATTTCTCCCGCGACATTATCATTTATCGAATGTGACTATTTAACGTTCACAAATAAAAAGAAAACACTAACAATTTAACAGTTAAGAAGAGAACGAGCGAGCCAACGTAAAGATAGAATCATGGAAAAATCTATCACAACATATTTATGAACATGCTTTGTAATACGACGCGCGAGCAACTTTCAAAACCAAATCCGTAGCCACGAAATTTATATTTTTCTTTCTCACTTTCGTCGCGTGATCGGTTAAAAACAACCGAAGAATAAATTTCAACAATGGAAAGGTACTCGCGCGTCGCGCGTGCCACTACCGATGCATTCCAAACATGCAAACTAAAATACAAATACGTGAAAAATCATTATAGCTATGTATATATGTATATACTTGCACATAAAACCGATCAGGATGCAGGCAAACACAATTTTGCTCGAAATTTCTCTCCGTATTTGTTGAACACACCCGACGAACACTTATCAAACATGTGTCGTCGTTTTTGATTTCTATCGTTACCGACGAAGCATGTTTTTTTGGTGTCGATTTTCATAGTTTTCTTCTTTTGCTGTTCGACAGCACGATCGTGATTATCCTATTTTCTTTGTTTCTCTGTAGAGCGAATAGAAACTGCTAACATTACTACCGAGAAACACACTGGGTACTGATATGCATGTGTGTACGTATATATTACGTATATACGCTACTCATTTTTTTTATTTTCCCTTACTCTGTTTGTGTCCAATTAAATAGGAATAAGCTAATACACTACTATTATCAAAAGAAGAAGTATATTTTTCTCAATATATCGACTAAAAACACGTGCAGAACCGACCACAAGTTTCGTCTCTATCATCGTTAGTCTTCTTCCGATTTGGTTCGTAGCGTTGGTTAAGCAAGAAAAAAATGGCGGTTAACTAGCCGCTTGATCGCGAACCGATCGAGTCATATATGCTTGATTCTTTTCTTTTTTTAAATGAGAAACTTGTAGCCCGAGCCGAAGCAACATGCACTATTGTTAAAAGTGAGCTACCAAGTTTCTATCGAGTAGAAGTATCATATAAATACGCTGAGCTTAGATACAGCATTCGTGTCCACCCCGCTAGCCCACCATGTCGTCGCGTGGTGAATTGTTTTTAAGAAAATTTAACTTAATTTGTTTGGTACAACGAATAGAGGAATCGGTCTGTGCCTTTCGACCGAAATTATCCCTTAAAAACTGAACCACGAGAGGCACAGTGGGCGTTGTAAAAAAAAAATGAAAAAAAGTGGGGGCAAAAAAGAGAATAAATTAAGCAATCAGCCAATACCACGGTCTCAGTACGAAATATTTGTACACCCATATCAATATCTTACGTTCATATTGATTTGGATATATAGCAGCCGACGTCTCCAATTCAAAAAGTATAAGTCTCGATCGTATTTAAACGCATTCGTCTCAAAGGACTTACAAATATTGATCCCCGTCCATGTTCCTAAACGATCTCTGTTCCACGAGTTTTCTGCAATATACCGCGAGGCGGCGGTTTCACTTAAGAAGACCGCGATTAAATCTTACGCGGTCAGAAGTGTAAATCGTTCTTCGATCGTATTCGAGCATACTCGTGCGTTATATTTCGTTTTCATTAGACCGGCAGATTTTCAACGAGCGATCTTATGCAACACATGAAGCGGATTCTCTCGATCCTGTAATATGTGCCGATCGTGACATTAATATAATCAACGTAGTCCTGGAAAAACTAGGAAACTGGTATTAGTCTGTTAGATTTATTCTGTTAACGTAACGTTTTTTTAAAGATTCCTTTGTGGTATTCGTGTCTCACTGTTTTCTTTCTATGAATCAGGCAGGTCCACGATCTGTTGGTACTACGATCTGCCAACAAAATTAACGACACGAGGAACCGGAAGAGACTGGACAAAATTCGATCGCCTGAATGGCTTAAGGCGGGAAACAAAGGCTGTTTAAAGTTCAACATTTCACTCTTTTCACTTTTTGAATCGGGAGGCGCGCGGTGCGTTTATATCTTCATATATATATTTGGTGGAATATAAATATATATATTTATATATATTTATTTGTGTGTATACGTAATATATGTTGGTATATAAACACGTAGTGAGTTAAGGTAATATATAGAGTAAGGTGAGGTTAGATACGTGGCTTAGGCTGCGCGAACGCCGGTCTCCGAAGCTCCACCTACTGACTGGGATCAAATCGTCTTTGTAATGGTCCGCTGCAAACATATTGACAGCCACAACTGTAGGCGCGATCCTTCGGTTTTTTAGCGGCTATACCGTCACGGTAATACGCTCGCAGATTTGCACCAGTATAATCCTCGATTCTCGTATTATTTCTGGTTGTATGGTTAACACAGTATATACTGATCTACTTACAGACTAAACTTTTACACATCCCTTAAATGTTATGCTCTGTAATTATGCGTCTGCCTTAGGAACAGAGCGGACTGAATTAGGAATAATCGCATAAGTGTCCGAGCTGTTAATCAAATACGACAGTGGATTACTGTAAAATGGTGTAGTGGTTTGAGCTGTACGTCAATTGAATATTTTCATATGCACGTACAAAACTCGAAAAAGTCTGCAGTGACGTTAAATTATGTATCTCGCTCGTACGAGTTATAGAATAACTTCTCTGCAGGAGCGTAGATCGAATATTGCCACATGTATGCCAATCATTGACAATACCCATAACAATGTTGCACCATCCAATTTTGATACCGACAGAGTTTTTAGAACGATAACACAAACAATGCAGAACACTTTCCTATTGGATCAACTTTGCATTATGTTAATAAAATTTAAATTCAATAGCATTTCAAATTAATTTTGTCTTGATATTTATCAAAAATATGTTGTTTGTGAATTGAAACAATAAATCACTGAAATAACATAATTATGACAATCAAGTTTTTAAACATATATTTTAAATCTTTCAAGGATGGATAAGAATTATTCATTAGATTAATCTTTGCATCTATGTAAATGACTTCCAGAGATCTATTTTAAAATATAAACATAAAAACATAAGTCATCTTTAATCTTTAATTAGAAATTCTTTCTTGGTATAATTTTAAAATTCATTGACTTATTCGATTCATTAAAGAAAGTAATATCACAAAATATTTTGACTAATTTGATCACAGAACATTTTAGTTTTTCTAAATTCATTATTGTATAAGTAATATCTATAAGAAGCAGTATTTTAATTTTATTCACAAATTATTGTATTCACTATAGTGTGTATTGTGAAAAAAACTCATATTTTCTTTGTGTTTAAAAAAGTGTTCCACATAAAAAATTTAATATCATTTTTAGTATCAAAAGCATAACTACCAATATTTTATTCGTTAAATTGCAACAGAGTTTTTAATCATCACTCCCAAAAAAAAACTACTATCATACAGTAAACTCCAATAGCGTTCAACTGTTCGTCGCTCAATACATTTTTTCCAAACGTACAATTTGTGAATATATGCATAATGCGTTCTTGAGTATTCATATTAGTTGGGCCAATGAAAAGTGCATTATAAAGTAAAACCTGAGACAAAATGAATAAAATCGATAATGTCGCGATAAAGACTACTGCGTTCAAGGTGATATTCGACTTTTAATAAGGAGTCATCGCGAAAATTATCCAGGACGAACTCTGGTAGCCATTTTGTATTTCCCACATAGAATGCGGTATTGATTTATCTGTCACTGAGCAGAAATATTCAAGTTTTTCTCATCGTAAGAAGACGAGAGTAAATTCATTTAATAAAAATACGAGTTTCGATCGAATTTGGACGTGCACCATTTTTCACAGGCGTCGAATAGTATTACTAACATAAAAAAACTCTCCGCCGTACGAGTGACAAGTGGTATATTCTCGACTCGAAAACACGAGATACTCTTAACGGGTGTAACACATATTATTAGTCGTATTGCGCGATTACGATGTATAGTTACCTTTCTTGTCGGTCATTATTGCTTAAAGTTTCACAAATTCTAGAAAAAAATACGTTATTCCTAATTAAATCACCGATTTAAGTTACAATACTGAGGAGACGAGCAACGGCTGTGACACTTGACGGACACTAGCGCCCTTTATTGAGCCTGCCCGTAGCTCCCTTGATGCTTCGATCTTATTGGTTCAAAATTTTACGCGCAACTACCCAATGAATGCAAAGCACTGACTTATGATTGACCGCCAAAAATTCAATAAATTTTTGTTTCGACTACAAAATTTTCAAGTCATTTTTTTATCACAACGAAACTTCTTTAGACATAGATATTTTTGCACATTATTGCAAATCGTCAAAAAGTGAACTAAGACTTCATAATAACATCTACATAGAATATTATACTATTATATATGATAGAATATTCATTATACTGTAGTTTTTTTAAACACAAAATTCTTAAAAATTATATAACATTTCCAAATGTCTATTACTACTAGAGGAAATATTAAAAATTCATTAGATTTAATTTTGTTAGTCGAATTCGAATTTGTCGTTATAAGTTGTATAGATTTTATATAGTGCATGTTTATAATGGATTTTGTGTACCCATTTTTGTTTATTAAAACGGTAATAGTTTTTAGTACTTTATGACATTCGTTCACAATCTGAATTAAAAATTATGCAAATGCTGTTTATGGAAATTTAATTACACCTTTATGTCGTCCGCATTGAAAAGGCAACCAACAATATAATTACATTTATGTAGTGCATATTGTCCTGTGAACGACACTGTACATTGAGATGCATCAGTGTTTATTGGTGTGCAGGCGTATGCAGTTGTTGATTGTAAATTGAATCTATTCAATAGATTCTATTGTACTTACTATTTAAAAATAGAAGAAAAGTATCGAATTAGTGACATATTTCAATTATTTGCATATATACGTGATTCGTAAAAATCTATTTTATTTAATAACTTATCATTATATCATACACTGAAAATTGTTTTGACACTTAATAACTTTCAATAACAAAATATTAGAGGTTTAATTTAATTTAGTACAAAAAATGTAACTATAAAAATCAATTATTCATGTAAGGATGTGAAATGTTTGTGTTGTTACTCCTCATTAGAATGGTATCGATCATTAAAACTTCAGTTTATTAACCTCTATGTTTGTAAAAGTCATTTTCTGTTTGCCATAAATAAACAAATTGAGTAACTAAGTTTAGAAAGCTTATTATGGCTCATGACAAAAAAAATGTGAGACGAAGTCGATCGCGTGAACGAGATCGCGATCGTGAAAGGGAACGAGAACGACGTGATCGAAGACGATCAAGAAGCCGATCGAAGGATCGAAAAAAAGACAGAAAACGTTCTAGATCACGAGAACGATCGAGAGAAAGGGACAAATCACGTGAAAAAGAAAGGGACAGGTCAAGGGAAAGACGAGAATCCAAAGACAAGTCAAAGGATGAGAAAAAGCGAAAACCAAGTCCTATATTTGTCCTTGAAGATGAAAATAAAAAAGAAAACAAGACCGATAGTAAAAAAGAGGATGAAGAAGTGGAGGAGAAAACAAAACCTGTTCCAAAGAAGGAACCTCTCAGTTTGGAAGAATTATTAGCTAAAAAGAAAGCAGAGGAAGAGGCACGTGCTAAACCAAAATTTTTAAGCAAGGAGGAACGTGCTGCTTTAGCATTGCAAAAACGACAGGAAGAAGTCGACGCTATAAAAAAGCAACAGGAGGAAATACGTAAATCTTTCTTTCACAATGAAAGTTCTGGAAAGGATAGAGATTGGGATGATAGAGATAGGTATATCATTTTTTAGTATGTAAATTTCACCATTAAGGAAACAAACATTTTGTTAATAAGCTATGTAATAGGCGCAGGGATGGTCAACGTACAAGGGAAGATGAGATCAAGGATAAAGATAAGGAGAAGGAAGTAGAAGCTATTAAAGAGCGTTACTTAGGGTTGATAAAGAAAAAACGGAGAGTTAGGAGATTAAATGACAGAAAATTTGTATTTGATTGGGATACCTCGGAAGACACGTCTGTTGATTATAATAGTATTTATAAGGAAAGACATCAGGTTCAATTCTTTGGTAGAGGAAATCTTGCTGGAATAGATATTAAAGCACAAAAACGAGATCAGAGTAAATTCTATGGAGAACTTTTAGAAAAACGAAGAACAGAAGCAGAAAAGGAACAAGAAAAGTAGGTATTTTTTCAAATTGAAAATTATTTATGGAAATGTAATATTTCTTATATATGTTTTATTTTCTTTTATTTCTTAGAATGAGATTGAAAAAAGTCAAACGAAAAGAAGAAAAGCAAAAGTGGGATGACAGACACTGGTCAGAAAAAGCTCTTCATGAAATGACAGAGAGAGACTGGCGTATATTTAGAGAAGATTATAACATTACAATAAAGGGAGGACGTATACCCGACCCAATTAGATCATGGAAAGAATCAGGATTTCCAAAAGAAATTCTTGATATCATTGATAAAGTGGGATACAAAGATCTAACTCCTATTCAAAGACAAGCCATTCCCATTGGACTTCAAAATCGTGACATTATTGGTGTTGCTGAAACTGGTTCTGGAAAGACTCTAGCATTCTTAATTCCGCTATTACTGTGGATTACTAGCTTACCAAAAATTGAAAGATTAGAAGAAGCAGATCAAGGTCCTTATAGTATAATTTTAGCACCAACACGGTAATATTAATATATATACTTTTAATTGGTAGTTATTAATTCAATTCGGCAAGTTAATATTCGTAAAATATATTTTCCCAGTGAATTGGCCCAACAAATTGAAGAAGAGACTAACAAATTTGGGCAACCATTAGGTATAAGGACAGTTGTTGTTGTAGGTGGTCTCTCGAGAGAAGAACAAGGCTTTAGACTGAGAATGGGTTGCGAGGTAATAATTTTACACACTATAAAAATTATCTACTGCACATAGCACAGAATTTTGTAAATTTTAAATCAATTGTTATCATTACAGATTGTAATAGCCACACCTGGACGATTAATAGATGTATTAGAAAATCGATACTTAGTTTTAAATCAGTGTACCTATATTGTATTAGACGAAGCTGATAGAATGATAGATATGGGATTTGAACCAGGTATGTACCCCGGTATAGATTTTTGTATCTATAGCTAAACATTAATTTTAATGCAAATTTTCAGACGTACAAAAAATATTGGAGTACATGCCAGTTACAAATCTAAAACCGGATAACGAAGATGCAGAGAACGAAGAAAAATTGTTAGCCAATTACAATACGAAGAAAAAATACAGACAAGTAAGACATATTCTTCGATATTATAGATCTTGTCTCCGTATAAAAAATTCATAAAAAAACATACATTTGTACGATTTTTTAAATTTTTAGACCGTGATGTTCACAGCAACTATGCCACCCGCGGTAGAACGATTAGCAAGAACTTATTTAAGAAGACCCGCTGTTGTATACATTGGTAGTGTCGGTAAGCCAACTGAAAGAACTGAACAGATTGTTCATATAATGGGCGAAGCTGATAAACGCAAGAAACTGATGGAAATACTCAGCAGAGGTGTTGAACCACCAGTTATTATATTTGTCAATCAAAAGAAGGGTGCTGATGTTCTTGCAAGAGGTCTAGAGAAACTAGGCGTACGTTTATTTTCAATTTTATTATCATATCACTACTTTAAATCGTAAATATTTGTTCATTATTCTTCCTTTTGTTTTAGTATAATGCTTGTACTCTTCATGGTGGTAAAGGACAGGAACAGAGAGAATATGCACTTGCATCTCTCAAAAGTGGTAGTAAAGATATTTTAGTTGCTACTGATGTCGCAGGCCGTGGTATTGATATTAAGGATGTATCTATGGTCATTAATTATGATATGGCGAAGACTATAGAAGGTAAGTGATTAATACATCTTATCTTAAAAAAAGAAAAGAAATGGAAAAATATGCGGATGCTTATTTGTTTCTAGATTACACACATCGGATTGGTAGAACTGGTCGTGCAGGAAAGGCTGGTCTTGCTATTTCATTTTGTACGAAGGATGACAGTCATTTGTTCTATGATTTGAAGCAAACAATTCTTGCAAGTCCGATATCTACTTGCCCTCCTGAGTTACTGAACCATCCGGATGCTCAACATAAACCAGGCACAGTAGTTACAAAAAAACGTCGAGAGGAGAAAATATTTGCCTAAAAATATATACATCTAATTGCACAAATTTGATTATAATTGAAGCGTTCTATTGGTGTTTTACATACAGGTATATATTTTTTATAGTGTGTGAATAGAATAGGAATGTATGCATGTCAACGAAATAAATGAAATGTAAATACATACTATGAAAATAAATCTATACTATGAAAAGTATACATAATTTTTCTTGTTATAAAAATTCATCTCCCTATAACGAAGTAGGATTCTAGTATCATTTCTCTTTCGTTAATATGTATTATGTTTGACTTTATTTAATATCCTGTATTAATATAATAAGAAATTATATAAATCACATAATATATTGCTTAATTTATGAAATAATTATAATCAAGGAAGTGGAGCAGGTGGGAGCGTATAGCCCCTCTCAACTTTGCATTCTTCTTCCCAGTCGTCTGGTATCATTGGTTTCAAGATCTGTACAAATTTTTCAAGGGGACAAATTGTCGTACATCCTGGTATAGTCAGAGAATATGGTTCATGATCGGTTGAGTTTTTTAACAATATCTGTGAAAAAAAGGATAAAAATAAACTTTCCAATTCTTTTGTATTTTTTCTTATTACATAAAATACAAAGATTATTTATCACCTGAACATTCCATCCATCTTTGTTTTCATGTAATTCGATTATAGTCATGATATTATAATGTGGCATTTGGTTGTTCCATACATGCATAACATCTAACAATGTTACAATGGTACTGTCATGCCCGATGTACATGAACATTTTTCTTTCTTCGGGTTCTAAAGTATTATCCTTCTTTGCCAACATATCAGTAACAATCTTTTTTAGAAAAGGTCCCCCCTTGAGTCTTCTAAGAAGATCATTGAACACGTTAAGTCGAAAGTCGTACATTGTAAGTGGTATCAATTTATCGGGATAATAATCTTTAGTCCAGTCAGGAAGACTTAAGTTCATTTGTTTCTAAAACATTGTATTTACATTGAGAAGAAGGTACTTTTTAAACACATTTGGATATTGAAAAAATAACAAGCACACCTCTGCTGTTAATGTTCCATAAAGTGAACCGACGTCATCGGGAGTTGAAATTACCATACCCGTTAAGTTCGTCAATTCCTCGTACAATTGCTTGTTATCATCTTGAACTTTTTGAACCTCTGGTAAACTCATTATTGTGTGCCGTAGCTTAGTATACTTCGGACAAGAGTCCCATATTAACATCAACTATAAACATATAGAGATGTAGAATAAATTAGTTTGAATTTAAAATGAAATTTGTTCATCTTATAAAACAAAATACAGACCGTATCTTCTGATCGCGGTTGATAAAATAAAGTGACTGGCTGCCATGGTAAATCAGGCTTGAAAGATTGCTTTTCGTTTGGTTTCCACAAAGCCGCTGCTTCTAGCAGTGCAGACATTTTTGTACGATCAACTGCAGTAGATTGTAAATGAAATATATTTGGACTATATATTTGACCCAAAAAGTCATCATAACGATCTCGTAGGTAGAGGCCTTGATTGTACTGACTTCTTCTTCCTTCCTAGATGGAAGTTCTGATATGTAACATTAAATCAAATATTGGTGCATTGAAAGAAGAATTTAAACAAGGTATTACATTTGTTAGTTGACCCCAACCATAAGATTCCATCGTATTGTTGATGTGAGGATCATTTGGGTAGGTATCCTGCGGTGCCCGTTCTCCATGCCGCATTACCTACAAGTTTGTTTCTATTATTTTCACAATTATTAAGAGGCAACAGTAGCTATTAAAATATAAAATAAATACATTTATTAATCGTGTAATTTTTGTATCATCATTGCTACTAATTTTAAGATTAAGGTAAAAAGTAATATGAGACATTTATTTCCAACAAAATGGGTTTGTAAAATCCAACACTTTTGTTGATTGTATGATAACGTTAATCCAGCCGTAAAACCGTATAACAGAACTATACAGATACGTCAAACTTTATATCAAAAGACAAAATAAAGGTCAAATGAATTTTTTTTTAATCTAATATATTTCATTTGTATTTACCACTATTACTAGTCGAAGAGTAGTATCTCGAGTTTTGTTATCATCCTTTTTATTATTTGTTGCGACATCTTCGAGTGCCATAAGCGACCCTAGAAACCAAAAAGTATTATACATTAAATTACAATCGAAGAACATTTAGGAAATTAAATATTCAATTATATTGATATAATTACAGTAGTACAGATTACTATGTGCGGTATTGAATTCTTCTGTCAACATTTAGAAGCTAGATCGTATCTTCTAAACTTATCGAGAAAAAAAAAAGAACAATTACCTAATGCTAAATAGACAACATCCAAAAAGAGCAGGAGTTTAAGAACGATCATTATTAAAAATTATCAAGTAGAAGTTTTTCGAAAACCGTTTTCCATTTATCAATGAACTCCCACGAGCTACTACACGTGCAGAACGGTCGCGTACTGGGGCCTTAAGAAGTGTCACCAAGATAAATCCTATGCCCCCACCATATGAGAACCAGTATTATACAATACAATGTTACTTGTATCAAGACTGTTATGTACTCAAGTGTCCAACATTTATTCTATTGATGTTAGTTATGGTGCAAAATATATAAAAGATATATATACCTTGTACGTGCGTCGATTCTGATTCTTCGCGCGTTGTCAACACCTCATAGAATCTGAAAAAATATATATGTCAATGAAATATTAACAAAAAAGTGTCTTATTCTATGATTCATGTTAATTAGAATTAAGATTCATAATCTCATTGAATTCTCATTCAATTATAGGAAAATTCTATGTAATTTACTATTGTCTTCATTATTTTAAATCGACTAATTTTATTCTCGTTTTAAGTTTCTAATAACACGAACGATGCATTCGTTTGGAAGGAAAACAGAAAATAAGTGACAATTACGTAGTTATGTAATAAACTCATTGACTTGCAGTAATTTCCATTTTCATACCGTATATTAAAATTTATTATTGAGTTTTATATTCTACTAATGATTTACTCTGTACAGCAGAAAGAATATTGCAATTTAATTACTATCCTTGAGAGTGTGACGCGATATTACAAGGCATTTCAAATATCGTAACGCTGTTAATGTTTGTACTATCGCCGATTCATTATGAATGCTACATCAAATTACAAAGTAAAAAATGCAACTTTCGAAGTTTCCGAATTTCCGTTTATAAAAACCACACAAAAAAGAAAATACAAATATTGGAACGAGTACTAACTCATTGTAAATGAAATACGAATATAGGTGCAGCATGATACTAATACTTAATCATACATAATTTACTATGACAATTATATAATTTCTTGTCACTAATCGTCAGCTTTATCTTTGTCCTTATTAGTCACTAGCTGGTAGAAACAACTTTGAAAAGAATTAAATACAAATTTTAAAAGTTTTAAACATTGCTGTAAGACGAATCGATTCGTAATTCGAAAGCGAAAAGTCGAAGACAATGAAACAGTTGCAATTAAATGATTCCAAAATTATATTTTTAGTTCAAATCAAATACTGACTAAATGTAGTGCTGTACAAACGTAAAAAATACATAGATATAAAAATCTCAGAAAAATAATTAAATATTAAGTAAATCATTTAGTTTGAATCTACAAAAGAACATGATTACTCTCATTTTGATGAATTGTTCTGAATTCAGTCTCTTGTCATTTTTTATTGTCAGGGCAACGAGAAATCAAGACATTCGTTTGTTTTATCAAAATATCAGCCAACTCGCGTCATTCTTGATATAAGTTCTTACAAGTATCTACGAGTCTTGAATTTCTTTAACGCGATCCACGGGAGTTCCAAACGTTAAACAAAAAGTTTTTAGAACAAAGTCACATATGTGAGCATTTTCGTAAGATCAAGCACCGAAAACCCGTCTAAGACGTGAATTCATTGGAAGAATCTAAGCTTATAGATCGTAAACCGCTTCAGCCGTGGATCACATAAACGAGGGTGGTCAAACGGCGGTGTCGAAACCGCGGAGATCCCGTCGCAAGAAGCAAAAAAACGCTACTGCCAATTCCAAGGTTTTTTCCCGGTTCTTTAACCGGGTGTCCTTCAGTCGATGATTCATGAATTGCTTACTAACAAGCTTTCATTTCTGCTTTCACTTTCAAAAGAATTACTGTACAATTTAATTAGTAATAATTAGCATGCTTACAATTCATTTAAAATATTTATCAAAAAATTGTAGTATATTTAACTTTTATAATATAACTGTTAATAGAACTGACTATATAGTTTAGTTGATTGCACAGGTGGTCATTTAATAATTTTGCACAGTGTAGACTAAAGCAGAACTGAAAACTTAAACTATGTGAATTGTTAATTATGAAATACTTGATAAGTAAAGAAATATTTTTTATTTTACGTATGAGTGTCTCAAGAGAATAATTTTATGTATCGTATTAATTTAAGGCAAAAGCTATGGCAACTCCTTGCGGCGAGTATCGAAAAGAGATCCAAAAGTGCAACACACAGACAGGAACACAAGTGGCAAATCAACAACCATGTTCCATGCCAGCAATTCAAAATCAAACTACTTCAACTGTACCAATGCGACCAAGATCTCTCTACACAACGCATAGTTATCACGCGCAAACAGACGAATCTAATTTTCAGGTACTTTTAGAAGTATTTTCCAGGTTAGCTATTCATTTTAGGAATTAGCATCAATTTATCTTATCATACTGTATCTTTTATAAAGTTTCCATCTAATGAGTGATTTCTTTTTTTTTTTTCTAGCGATACAGTGAATTTTCCAAATACTTTGAAGCATCTCCATCAGAGCAATGGGGTGGTCTAGGCAATGCAACAGCATTTTCTAATTCAACAGCGCTTTGGCGACAACCACGGAACTCAAAAACTATTCTACCGTATTACGAAGAAACGTGTGTCTACGCAGAAAATTGGAGAGAACATGATACCGATGCTGCCATAGTCGCTACGACGCATGGAACCATTTCCTTGAGACTTCATAATAGAATCCGAGTTGATATGACGATCGATCGTGCGGTTAGAGTTATCAATTTCAAGGTATCTCCTTTTTTCTGCTTTACAATGAAGTTCCTTCTTCGAGTTCTACCGCCAATAAGCACCCTAGACAGAAAGGAATTCGAAATGAACGATCCGAGTTTCTATTTATGAATAGGAAAAATAACATTGTTAACACCTACACGATTTTTATCTGAATTGCATTTATCGTCAGCGTAGAATAACATCGTGCTATCGTTAAGCGGTTCTGGAGCAGCTGCAGCATTACTACATCCTAATGGAAGAATATATCAGTATGGATCACGAGTTGAAATCTTAGCCCACGACGCCCACGGCAATAACAAGTTAGTGGCATCTATAACATGTTTAAAGTACCATTAACAAATATTATCGTCCTTTGTTAGGTATGCAAAAATGTGGTATAAAGGGGTCAGCTTCACTTCAGAACAGTGCGCCCTTGTTTATTTAGTAGATACTGCAGGAACAAGAACGACTACAGACTCGTTTTCGGATATGAGTCAGGTATAAAAAAAGAAATACATTTCTATTCGACATTGTTATTACTATTTAAATAAAAATGTTAACTTTCAGGACTTTTCGTTAAACGTTTTTTTCTCTCGTTCCCGACATGGTTCAGCATGTTTGCAAGAAGCTGCAGCGGCTTTGAATACAGCTCAGTATTGGTTGACTAATGAAGGTGTAGAGAATTGGGTTATCAATAACGTTAGAGTTTCACAAACACCTGATGGTCTTGTTAGGTATTTCAATTACTGACAGTAATTCTAAAACATGGGACTAAGTAGATCATAAGATAAAAATGTGAATTTTCGTTTTCATAGGATCGCACGAAATAGTAACAAGTATCAGTTACGTACATCGCCTAGTAATGGAACGGCTTCGTTAACAACGCCGTTTTTACATTGCACTGCTTCTCTGGGTCAAACATCTCATCTTTTTGTGCGTCGTGGTGAACGACGCATGCATTACGACGGGACTAGTTTTATTGTACGAAACGCGGGTCATAGTGCTGGATTTGATGACAACAATCAACTGAAAGTTTATTAAGAAATTCTGGTGCGAATTTATTACTGTGACTTTCATAAAAGTTTATTCAGAACGACGTAATTATCGCATCCAGTATATAGATTCACTTTTATCATCATAAATATACATACAGCTATATGGAAATGAAAAGTTACATCTTTGGAACTAATCTCTGGTAAAGTGACTTAAGCTCAAAACCTATGATAGATTATCTCCAGTTATGAAGTTCAGAAATTTATTTTAATTTCATTTTAAGCACGTTTAGTAATTTAATTATATTGTCTTCATTTAGAACCTGTGCAAAACAGCTACAATGAAATAGAGTACAATGTATTCTATAAAAAGTTTCTATAAATTTGAAATGATTGATATTTTCACTGACTTGTTCCTTATACTTATTTTGTATGCTTTCCAATAAAAAATAACTTAAATACAAATATCATCCTCTTAGTCTAGTTCTTGTTCAAATTATTAAGTGTACGAAGTACCACGATTTATTCATTATTGCAAGATAATACACTTACAGATAAAAGATGTATACTTCTTTTTTTCTTTTAGTCAGAATCTAAATCAGAGTCATAATCTTCAAGTTCTAATATTTCTACTTCAGATTCATTTGAATCCGATTGGAAACCATCATCAATTAGCGACCGTCCTTTCCTTCTGTAAGTACCTTTCCTAGAATTTAATAAAAACATATCATATCAGTTACTTTTCTTTTTTTTAAATATCAATGTACATACGTCTGAGATGATTTTTTATGTCCTTCTTTTGAAGTTGAAGCACTACAAGACCTTTCAGGACCATACATATTTCTCATCTGTTGATTTTTTCTTTGTTCTTCAAAGTTTCGAATATCATTAATAATTTCTTCAGCAATACCTGCTTTAAATAAATTTAAACTAGCTGTTGAATTATTTTTTGATATCAATGCTTGTTTTTTTTCTTCATAAACTTTACTTAATTCGTCAATTTGCGATAGCATTGGGTGTTTGTCTGTCAAGTCCTTTAGTGTTGGTAATATTGAATATGGATTGAAGGATTGTGCATCTTTTGTACGATAATGTTTTTCCAGCCCAAACTAAAAACAATAAATCATTAACAGAATCTATAAATTATTATTTATATTTCAGAATTTCAATTGAAAATACCTCCTTATCAAAAATACAAAAATGAAATGCATTGTCTGCTATTAGTTTACATAACACATAATTGGCATCCAAGTGTTCGGCTTCTTTTATTTCTGCATGCAATTCCATAATACTTCGCCAATCATCTAGTTTAACTCTAATTTTAAATTGGTTTATTGGCATTTTATAATATATTCCATATAAAAGATACAATCCTCCAATGCGTTCTTTAAAACGTGGAGGCAAAAGAAGAAACTTTTTGCACGTATTTAGAGCTTCTTCACAAAATTGTAATAATTCTATATATGCAGGGTGTCCACTGGAAACACAAGTAAATATAAAATAAAATAATATTAAATAAAGACTCATTATTCATTCTTAAATAATAATAATTGTTTCTCACGTTCCCAACTCCTATATACGTGATAGAAATTAGAAAGTATGATGCAACTATAGTCAAATTATTTGAATATACACAAAAAGTTTTTGTAAATATACAAATATCCCACTTCGATTTAAATATTGATTTTTTTTTAACGTTTCATTGTTCATAAAATCGCGTGTAAGACTTACGTAAACACCAGTGAAAATTTCATCTCTTTCCAAATTTCGCAAAACGTTTGAAATCTGATATCATTCTCCTGTTCGAAACGAGAGATCAGGCGTTCACAATCTTCCTTGAAACCACTCAAAATCAGCGACTTACTTGCTGCCATTTATAACTCTTAAAAACACTCAATTATTGTTATTGTTAGGATTCGTTAAAAATTATAATGATAATATATTGTTTTATTTAGCTATTTGTTATTGTGACTTTTGTTAAGAACAAAATTAAAATCTTGTTTGAGTTTAGAACAGAAATAAGAAGGAAGATCGTTGATAAGCACTGTCGTTCGGACCAGATTTTCCTAGCCGTTAAACAGCGCTTTTTAACGGCCCACATCACGAACTAAAATAGAGAATTGTTGTAACCGCTATCAGAGTTGCCAGAAAAGCACCGCCGGGTGCACACGCACACATGCCAGATACGCGTACGTGAGCTCGTGGAGTTTCGGAAAGTCGACAAAGGCAAACTGACGCATGGCCTCTTTCTCGATTCTCCGAAGCTGCCCGAAGTAATTTCAGATCGCCTCGTGGGAGTCGAGAGAGAAAGGCTCACATTTGCCTTCTCGCTCTAAACAACTGAAATCCGATCTCCCGTCAACGGCATACGATTTAGATTCTCGAGCCGAGATTCTCGACTGCCCAGGCATTTTTACTTTCCGACCTATGTAGGCGCACATAAGCAAAGTATCCATAATGAAAAAAAAATTTTGTAAAATTTATTTTACGGAAATACACGTTTTAAGACCTCCTGATCATATTTTAATTATTGAAAAAAAAGAAATTTTTTTTATTCCCATGTATGAGCACACATATGTATATTATTATTACGATTGAGTATAAATAGCTAAATGAATTTAAATGAAACTTTACATTTAAGTTTTATGTTCTCATTTCAAAGTCCGGTTAGACTTTGACTATAATCAGTCCATGGATAATAATGATTATACCTCTTGTTTCATAGTTGTTCCGATATATGTATAGGCATAATGTATAAAAAATCTTTTAAATGTTTCATATAAATCTTAGGACGAATTAAATTTTATATATGTTATACAGACGCGTAGAATGGAATTAGGAATTAAGAAATACGTAGGGTATTCGTATACATGCTTTATTCCCGTTCTTTCAGCGTCGGAAAAACAAATGAGCCCGTCCTGGGCCTAGACCCACGCCTTTGTCGTCAGCCTTCTCCCCCATCGGTAGGGGTGGGAGTGTTGACGGACGAAGGCCAGACGCGGTCCCTTGCCAGCGCCTCGGCTTGGGCCTCGCCTTTTCCCGACGCCTTACATATAAAAAAAATTATATAAACTTTTTCTCTATCTTCTCTAGAAAAGAAAAAATTATATGAAATCTTATACATTACATGCTTACTTAAATCGCATTGAAAACGAATACCACAAATGTTTTAGAATAATGTGCAAAATGTGATTACGATTTTCGCTAAGACAAATTGAAAACTCGGTTCTAACAAGGAAAAGTTGGAATGGTACCCGATTTTGGGTTAGGTTTTACTTTGAAATATTAATAAAGTTATTACAGATACTTATCTTCAGAAATAGAAATACATTCAACAACCAGCGTGGCGTGAATGACAAGGTATTTGCCTGCAAGTTCCGAGCTTCTTCTGCTCTGCAGGTTCAAACCCTGCCAAAACAAATCCTTTTTTTTTATTTTTTCAATCATATTTTAATCGTACACTAAATGTGACATTATATTTTTGTCTGACCTTCGAATATTTTTTTTTTTAAATTGAATTTAACATATGTTATTTTCAATGTACGAAGTACATGAATCTGGATGGTACTTTTCGTAAAAACAGTGAAAACATAACAATTTCAAGCACCACCTACATCTAATGAAAGTTCTGTTTTCACAGAAATAACAAAATTTTGTATCTAACTCTGATGGAAAGGCCGCTTCATTTACATTGATAAAATGTGAACGATTTTCGGATAGTCGTACCTTGTAGCTCGTACTTTTTACCTTATACTTCAGGTAAAAAGGGATATAGCTGGGAAAAACAGTTTTATGACATTACCTGCTAACTTATGTTACTGTTCTACAATGAAACGCTATGTTTTGTACCTTTAAAAATATTCGACTATGTCCTTTTAAAATTTAAGATGCAACCCATACTTTGTATTAAACTGGCAAACGGGATCACTTTTCCTTTGTTTCTAGTTAGTTCTATTTAGTTTGTCATAACAAATTGATACGGTTATCTCAAAACAATCGAGGAAAATCATTATTAATTAATTTCTGCAATTATTAATTCTACTGTTTTGTTTATGTTATAAAAGTAAGAACTCTTCTTATTGAAAAATACCACAGCGTGCACAATACTGGTAAAGAGTAGAATCTCATTTTAATTTATTAATTTTCAATCTTAAAGTATTTTGATTTTCAAAAATCGTATTAATAATATATGTACATTGTTGTATGACTAACTCATAAGCCAACATAGATACCGCACTAGAATCATCCTTACACAAACATCCCAGTCATAGGTTCCAAACTCCAGCCTTTCTAGCCTCCTGTACCCGCTTACTCATCCTGTACCCGGTTACTCATTCCGTACGCCACCATTGTCACCCTCAAATATATAAACGACGCACATTTTTGGACTCAAGTCAGATCTCTGTAGTTTGTACTAACGTGCGGAACTTGCCGTAACGATCGAATAAAACCACCAGTCTCTCTAGTAAAGTGTTGTTCTTAATCCCGCAACCCGGGATCCAACAACATATGCACGCTCATACATGGGACTAATAAAAAAAATTTCTTTTTTTTCAATAATTAAAATATGATCAGGAGGTCTTAAAACGTGTATTTCCGTAAAATAAATTTTACAAAATTTTTTTTTCATTATGGGTACTTTGCTTATGTGCGCCTACATAGGTCGGAAAGTAAAAATGCCTGGGCAGTCGAGAATCTCGGCTCGAGAATCTAAATCGTATGCCGTTGACGGGAGGTCGGATTTCAGTTGTTTAGAGCGAGAAGGCAAATGTGAGCCTTTCTCTCTCGACTCCCACGAGGCGATCTGAAATTACTTCGGGCAGCTTCGGAGAATCGAGAAAGAGGCCATGCGTCAGTTTGCCTTTGTCGACTTTCCGAAACTCCACGAGCTCACGTACGCGTATCTGGCATGTGTGCGTGTGCACCCGGCGGTGCTTTTCTGGCATCTCTGACCGCTATTAATGATTACGTCGTGATTCTGTCGGCATCGGTAAAAGAAAATTTCCCTAGACTTACTTGGTTTTGTTGCGTCCAGAGATGCCAGAAAAGCACCGCCGGGTGCACACGCACACATGCCAGATACGCGTACGTAAGCTCGTGGAGTTTCGGAAAGTCGACAAAGGCAAACTGACGCATGCCCTCTTTCTCGATTCTCCGAAGCTGCCCGAAGTAATTTCGGATCGCCTCGTGGGAGTCGAGAGAGAAAGGCTCACATTTGCCTTCTCGCTCTAAACAACTGAAATCCGACCTCCCGTCAACGGCATACGATTTGGATTCTCGAGCCGAGATTCTCGACTGCCCAGGCATTTTTACTTTCCGACCTATGTAGGCGCACATAAGCAAAGTACCCATAATGAAAAAAAATTTTGTAAAATTTATTTTACGGAAATACACGTTTTAAGACCTCCTGATCATATTTTAATTATTGAAAAAAAAGAAATTTTTTTTATTCCCATGTATGAGCACACATATGTATATTATTATTACGATTGAGTATAAATAGCTAAATGAATTTAAATGAAACTTTACATTTAAGTTTTATGTTCTCATTTCAAAGTCCGGTTAGACTTTGACTATAATCAGTCCATGGATAATAATGATTATACCTCTTGTTTCATAGTTGTTCCGATATATGTATAGGCATAATGTATAAAAAATCTTTTAAATGTTTCATATAAATCTTAGGACGAATTAAATTTTATATATGTTATACAGACGCGTAGAATGGAATTAGGAATTAAGAAATACGTAGGGTATTCGTATACATGCTTTATTCCCGTTCTTTCAGCGTCGGAAAAACAAATGAGCCCGTCCTGGGCCTAGACCCTCGCCTTTGTCGTCAGCCTTCTCCCCCATCGGTAGGGGTGGGAGTGTTGACGGACGAAGGCCAGACGCGGTGCCTTGCCAGCGCCTCGCCTTTTCCCGACGCCTTACATATAAAAAAAATTATATAAACTTTTTCGCTATCTTCTCTAGAAAAGAAAAAATTAAATGAAATCTTATACATTACATGCTTACTTAAATCGCATTGAAAACGAATACCACAAATGTTTTAGAATAATGTGCAAAATGTGATTACGATTTTCGCTAAGACAAATTGAAAACTCGGTTCTAACAAGGAAAAGTTGGAATGGTACCCGATTTTGGGTATACGATTTTTCAAAATCAAAATACTTTAAGATTGAAAATTAATAAATTAAAATGAGATTCCACTCTTTACCAGTATTGTGCACGCTGTGGTATTTTTCAATAAGAAGAGTTCTTACTTTTATAACATAAACAAAACAGTAGAATTAATAATTGCAGAAATTAATTAATAATGATTTTCCTCGATTGTTTTGAGATAACCGTACCAATTTGTTATGACAAACTAAATAGAACTAACTAGAAACAAAGGAAAAGTGATCCCGTTTGCCAGTTTAATACAAAGTATGGGTTGGATCTTAGATTTTAAAAGGACATAGTCGAATATTTTTAAAGGTACAAAACATAGCGTTTCATTGTAGAACAGTAACATAAGTTAGCAGGTATGTCATAAAACTGTTTTTCCCAGCTGTTCAACGCGTACACTTAACTTATTGGATCGGTGATACGCTTTAAGCGGTAACTTAATACCGCTTAAATATTTGTGTTTGGTGCAAGTATTGAAAGGCAATTAACTATGTTGAAATTTATTAATCTATACAGTGCGGTCTTTTTTTTGTTCCGTCTCTCTTGAGTTACTTGTTAAGACTGCTGGTCGGCGATCGGGGCCCTGTACTATATAGTCCTGGTTCCGATCGTCTTTTGGTTGTCCCTCGCGCCGGGTGCAAAAGTTCTCGGCTCGTCCCACGAGGACCGAGAACATTCCGCGACACGTGCAGTCGATCGATTTTGCACCCAGCCCGAATCAGTTGCACACGGCACTGTTTCTTTGGACCTCAAGACGGGCGTACATGGGTCCCTTTATAATTACTATTGTTACCATGTAACACCAGCTATATCCCTTTTTACCTGAAGTATAAGGTAAAAAGTACGAGCTACAAGGTACGACTATCCGAAAATCGTTCACAT